CCCCCCCCACTGGATGTCTCCTTCTGAGCACATCTCATATGGCATAATGCTGCAAGCATCTATACGCAAAGAGTAACTCGCGATGACTCTTTCAGGATGCGAAGTTCGTCGAGGATAGACGACAAAAACTACAGCAATGGTTACGGCGTGTGGTCGGACGCGTGGCACAATGTTCCCCCGCGTTTTCGTGCAGACCAAGCAGGCAGACTCTTGTATCCTTGATGCCTTTCTTTGGGTAAGTGTTCCACGCGGAGATTAAAAGTGAACGATCACGATCCACGGACACTTCAAAGCCAATATTGACGTTAGTATACTTTGTCATGAGAGAATGGGAATCATCTTTCTAAGGCTGCGTTCCGAAATTCACTGTCAGTGCTGAAATTTTATAGTATATGTGACATGAATTATAGAATTTCAGTACTGGCAGTGAATTTCGGAACGCAACCTAAGTATATCCTCACACCAAGATGTCACCGTTGATTTTCGTTTTCAGTGATAGCCCTAATGCCGAGGAATCGAGGAAAAATAATTCTGCAAGAAGTACTTTCTCTTCCTCCCCTCAATACATGGGTTTATAATCATGACAATTTTTATAGACAATTTGTACATATACGTGTGGGAAAGAAAAGAAAAAAAATATCTTATTAATTTAATTACTTCAGACAAGAATCTTGTTACATGCGACGTATTGTTGACGATTAAAGAGAACGGGGCGCTCTATTGCATGTGTTTAATGTATATAAGAATAATACCATACACACCTTGCGACCTGTATGACGCCGGCATGTGTGTATGGAAATTAATATATAACATAGACAATTATAAAAAAATTGGTTCTATACTTCTTTTTTTTAATGAAAATAATAGCTCATGTTTCTAATGTTTTACTATCGCAAGAGATTATTATCCCGGCCTGAAATCCTGCTCGGTTAAAAGTCGACAAAGAAAGCGACTGAAAGAATGTGTTCGCGCCGCTTGACTATAGTGCGGTGAAAGCCTACATAAACAGAACTAATAGTTAATAAGGACGAATGGAATTGATATAAATTAATAAGTACCGAGTTTTTCGACGCGTTTGTCTAAGGGTACGGAGATGAATTTTTACGTATATTCACAGGAGAGACGTGGTGAGAAAAATCGTCTCGTTTTCTAAAAAGTTTATTTATACGTAAGGCGCCTTAATAGTAATATAAAAAGGTACACTTTTTTTTCCATTTATCCCTTATGACAAAAATAAAGGTGCGTATCGTTATCGGAATAAGTACGTACGGTATTATGCCGGTAGTAGATCGAAGTACAAACTAATTGCGCGTGTACAAAAAACCACAAATTTTAACAACTTACACAGAATATATTTTTCTCACTATGGAGAGGTAAGATAATATAAAGAGGGAGCTCTCTCTCGTGAGATCAAACATCGATTATCTCGGGGGGGAGTGGGCGGGTAAAACGAATCTCTCCGCGCGAAACGCAAATAGCACTTTTTCGAAGGGCTTATTTAACCAACAATCCGCGTTTTTTCTTTACAATATATTTGTACTAGGCAACACTTTGGCTGTGCTCACCTTTCCATATTGAGAGAAGTTCTTTTTTACTTTTATTTTCTTACTCCTTCTCCTTAATATAGCACAGGGTATGCTTTGACTTACGGATATACTTATCATTATTAACATTTTTCTTTCCTACTGTCGCGCATACACGACGAGAATGAAAATCGGTGAGAATTATGTATCGTTTTGCGAAGCGCGATCGCGCGTAACGGTCGCAACGTGCGTTTGCCTCTCGATTGCCGAACGTGAAAGTGAGCTTAAATTACGCTACATCATCACAATCGCGCGATATCGTAATCGTCGTGACGACGCGCGTCGTCCTTATTAAATCATTCGCGTCGCTCGCTCGAACAGCCATCGAAGAATGACGGAGGAGATAAAGTATATTCTCAATCCGAACTATCGCGTGTAACGTGTCAAGGCATCGCGATTTGATACGGAGACTAAAAAAGCGCGAAGTGTGTATATTTGCATAGTTTAAGATTGCTAATAATAGTACGCGATACGCTTGTTAATTTTGTGTGTGCATTGCGCGGATATCGGTTAAAGAATTTTGCGGATTTAATGAATCGCGCTGCTGCTGACGGACTTTTCGATACTGACGATTTCCTTACGCGTTTTCACTCAATTCCTTTTTACTTTCGATTCCTGACAATGGATTTCTTTTCCTTCCGAAGTATCATTTTTGAAATTGTAATTTAGGAAATTCTGAGTCACAATTTGAGAAATTTAAGAAATTATTTTTACTCGCATCTCCGAAGCGTATTTTGCGGAAAGCCCTTTATTTTGAGAATTGTTTGAAAACTGCCAGTACTTCGACACTTTTGCTACTAAGAGGAAAAAGAAAAAATTACGAATACAAAAAAAAAATAAATAACGCTATGTGTCCACGTTCCACCAGTTTCTGGGATCTTATTTGTTAGCCGGACATACGAAATCAACGAAATACTAAGTAATTATACATCTTTGCGTATATATTGTATTCGCAATAACCGAATTTGGCGATCGCGCCAAGTATCACAATTTATTGTGAATACTGTACTCACTACTTTTGTCCCGGATATTCATTTCGCGTATTTAGCCGAATTCTCGTCTATTACAAAAATGTCATATACATATATATATTTTACAATACTGATACAGGACTGATTCGGCCAAGTAGCACTAATCGAAAAATATCTCATAAAACATTTTCTACCGTATACTCACACACACTCGCACATGACACGCATCCACACACACACACACACACACACACACACGCACACACACATACACAAGCAATTTATATCGCGTTAAAAGTCGTTCAGAATAACAAAGTATATTTCTCGTAGGAAAGAAAAAAAAGACTAAGAATCATTCTCTTAGAAAACACGGAAAAAACGTAATAGCGTATTTTACGCAGTTAACAAATGGTCTTGCTGTGCGTGCGCGTAGTATCACACACCGACCTACAATTGTCAAACAGGTTCCAGATATCAGCCGCTTATGGACAGTACGCATTCTTGCGCATTTATAATTTTGTAATTTGTACACTTGTAGAGAACGTAGATTTATTACACGCGGAATGTGTGTCCGCATTGAACGCGACGAGTTTCGGTCGTTTCACTGCTAAATGAAACACATTTCGCCTGATTTCGCGAAAGTATACGTATACCTTTAGTCGCTATATTCTATGTCGGGGATGTTGTTAGTACAAGAGAAGCGTTAACTTATTATTTACACGCTCTAATTTCTCCTCGCTGACTAATCTCGATTTAGCCCTAGAACCGGCTAGAAACTAAACTAAGCTCGAAATGTTCTCCAAGCGAAATAAAATAAAAGCAATAACATGAAAATTTAATATTGTAAGATACTCATTGCGAAATACATGAGATGCCAAACTTGCGTCGTATGACTTGCGTATGAGTTTTCCAAGTCAAATTTTCAAACTAAATTAGTACGACAGATTGTAAAAGTAGAGTCTACCACTTTAGCTTTTGCAAATATTAATTAATCTATGGTCGTTCATGAATATTTAACATTTTTAAGTTACATTGTGGCAATCACAAAACATCTCTTGAAAATCGAAATTATAATGCGAAATTTCAAACTATTTCAAATACATGTGGCGTTCAAACGTTACATATCGCTCGTTGCGTGTGAACATTACATACAACATTCACGCGTACACACGCAAGAAACGATATTCAACTTCGACAAAACAGGTCGATACAGTTCTCATAAGAAGAGAGAGTAAAAAAAACAATATAAATGTTTCATATATTTATTATAAAACAGTGAATAAAAGTTGTATTTTAATTTCAGCAGGTATATAAAATTTTTTTAAGATATTTTATACAACATACATGTTTTTTTATGTACTGGAAAGTTTGTATAATTCTGAGCATCTTACGAATTACAATACACGTTCAACAATCATTTTTTTGTGCAAGATACTGCAACAATACATCTAGACAGTCCTAGGGTTAAACGAATTTTTAATTGACATAATCATTTTGCCGTTCTGAAGCCTGCTCAGATTTAGATATGTAGAGAGAATGTACCGGTAGTCACGTAAGGAGATTACTTAGTAATGAATTACAAAGAGAGTATACCTACATAGGTAATAATCGCGGTGTGATTTGAGCCTAATTTTATTTGACTTTAGGTCTTTCTTCAGGTATATACGAATGACAGGCGATCTCTTTGAGTTTCAGCAGTCTTTAAACGCATTAACTCCGTTTCACGAGATTGACAACAAAAGCTAACAATAATGATAACACATTATGCAAGTACACGAAGGTTAAAAAGTGGAGCCTTTGAGAGAGTGCGGTGAAAAGTAACGAGGCTAGCGCGTATTCGCTGAAATTATCCTCTTTTTTTTCATTTTCTTGCTTGTTTTCCTTTTCCCAACCACTACTCATTGTTGAAAATACGGGAACCTGTTCTTTCGTTTCATTCGCGTTAAAACGGAAAATCCTCCGTGAAAGTGCAAAGCACGAAGACAGAATTACGTGTGTGATTGAATACGTTATCTTTTTTTTCGTTTTTTCTTTCGAAGCTGCTTTACGTTCACACTGAAGTATCGATGCGACAAGGTGGTATTTACGAGGTGTCGTTTATAGATCTGTAGCAAAATAAATAAAAACGAGGTTCTCTTAAGCTAGTAAATACTACAGTATCTTTGTATTGTGTACACTTTAACTAGCCAGTGCGTTTTGCGTGTATCCTGACCCTCTGATTAACCTTCCTGTCTATGTAGCACACCTTACCACGCATTCTAAGGCATGAACTTCCTAGTGAGCTGGATAAGAGAGAGCATAGACCAGTGTGCCAGGTACTTATGTGTTAACATTCTTTTTTTCTTCTTCTTCCTCATCTTTTCTTCTTCTTCTTATTTTTCTTAATCTCTCTTCTTTTCCTTCATCCTTTCATCCTCTTCCTCTCTTCTTTTTTTTCTTCACTGTCGCGCGCGCGCGTAGCTAGATATACATTATATTATTAGAAAGTATATTACTATTGTATTTAAAAAATCGCTTTCTTCCGCTTTCGACTTTACATTCTATATCAAGATTCTTATTTTCTTTTTCCTCAGACTGTAATTATAAAAACCGTTTGCAAAACGTTTCGTATTAAAAAGCAAAAAATAAATTGAACTTCTTGAGTGGGCTATGTATCTGCGTATACTAAATAATAAGTTAACCCATCGCACGAATAACTTTCAATTTTCTTCCATTTGCTCTCCCTCATATTTTCTCTTTCTCACATTCATACTTTAATAATCTCCTTTAAGATCTTCGGTAATTAATATCGCGATAAGTATCTTCGGTAAAAATTGAAGCGACACGCTCTTTTCATATCTCATTCCTTCTCTCTCTCTTTCTCCTTCTCCAAGCTAATTATTCTCCAAATAATCTAACGTAATGCAAATTTCGTTTTTAGAAATTGATAACCATCCTGCGCTTGAGCGAATATTTTACGTGTATGTATGCTATGTTTGTCGTTCGCTACCAAAGTTATTCGTGGATGGCTTAATATCAGGATTCTGACATTACAACACATGCATACTGTCGCTTGCATAAGACGCAGATTATATATTTTTTCGAAATAATTATCCGCGTATATACAAAAAAAAAAAAAAAAAAAACACGCACACCTGTATTCCGCGCCAAATTAGGGAGCCGTTTTTTATGCACATCTGATACCACACTGGCAAAAGCACATATCGCGTCACTTCAATCAATATTTAATATTATCACTCATCGTTTCTGTACTCAATACATATCAATCTTGTGTCGTTGGGCTCATTCTGTCATACATTCGTCAACCTGTCACTGCATGTTGTGTTGGTTGTACATATTCAGATTATAATCTAACATAACATAAGAAGAACCAAAAATATATCGCAGCTCTATGCTTTCGTCGCCGACGCAAAATGGAAGAACGACAAGAACGTGTTATTACTCGTGAATGTAATGCGTGCTTCAAGAAATGTTGAAATTTTGATTTAATTTTAAATTAAAGATAAATTTATCCGCTCCCTTCCTATTCTCTCGATTAAGAATAAATCTACAAACATATTCGTGCATACAATACCAGATCGAAATTCATAACAAACCACACATCTCACATCAAAAGTAACGTTCTTATGAGACCATTTCCGTGAGACAAGAATGCATAGGGATACGATAATTTTCTAGCTCTTCGTACAATAATAGTTTGAGAATATTTTTAGCGTACAAGTAATAATACAAAACGATACAAATTCTAACAAATGATCCACCTCTCTCTCTTTTTCTCTCTCTTTCTTTCCCTCTCAGTCATTATTTAATTGAATTACTTCAAACGATAGAGATTTAATGAAAACACCATAGACGGGCAGCGATGTATATACATATGCGTATATATGTGTACACATGTATATACATATGTATACATATATACCGTGCACACATGCTCTTTTCCTTTGTATCCGTATAATTTCGTTTATTCCAACAATCAAATTTAATACTTTTTTTTGTCATCTTGAATATTTATCCGTGTATACAAAACTAAAGTCGTTTAGCACACTTTAGCACTAAATTTAGAATACACAATTTCATTAGTCTTTTTCCCTGTAGAACACAATGTTCATTCCTAAACGTTGTCGTTTGTTATCTTTTTGTTTTTTTTTCTTTAGTTATCACAAATTATTGTTCCTTGTATTTATTATTGTTTCGAACATTATAACGGAGCTCAGATGCCTTCCAATACTTTTTTCTTTCTTTTCTTTTATTTTCTTATATCAATGCAATCGCAACTTTTTTAATTACACAATCCACGATGCCCGCAGCGCGATTGCTGGGGCGCACTGGGAACAGGCTGTTCTTTTTCTCCTCTTTGTTCGGTAACTTTTCCTTACATCGGTGTATATCTGCCTTTTATGTCGAAGTAAATCACTTTCTACCCACATGGTCGTTAAAAAAAAATATATATATGTGTATATATATGTACATATACATATACATATTTATATATATATGTGTATTATATATATATGTATACATATATGTGTGTATGTCTACTAATCGGGCTTATAGGTGTAACACCGCAAGGTAAAGAGTGGGACTATGGATTTGGAGGAGGTGTGGTCGGTGTTGTATGCGCGGAGGGTGATACACTCGCGACCATCGTCGGACTGGCCGGCTGTTGCAATGGCAGGAACGCTGATCCCAAGCTAGGTTTCAATTGGAATGGTACGCACGGCTTTGGGCAATAGTCTAGTTTGCTCAAATCTTTGGGCCGCCTATGCACACAACATATACACATGTATACTCACAGCGTGATTTAAACGGTAGGTGGTCGTAAGGTATATTAATCTCCACGTTACCTCGCTTCTTCCACGAATTTGAGGTTGACTTTCTCACAGCCATCAGGTGGTTCCCTCGCGAGGAACCTGTTAATGTGAGGGGAGGTGCCGAGACGTCCTTCTCTGTCTTGTTCAGGCGTTGAACCGCGACTTCCGCCTACAAATTCACGAAGAATGGTTAGAGGCTATTTATTCATAAAGACAACGCGATTCATTGAAATTTATGTCGATGATTAAAATATATAACGGAAATTCATGCCATTCACTATTTTTAACGAGTACTTGCGTGAATATATGTAAACAGATGCGTAACAGATCGTGTAAAATGTGTGGAGTAGTGCGTAGCGCGCGTTTAGATAAAAATAAATAAATAAATCAAATTATTTCTCTTCATGCTACATTTAGTAACAGTAAAGATACAGATATTGAACGAATATAGAAAGTATATAGAAAGAAGATGCATATGAATATTTATAATGTTCTTGTTTCTTTCCACGTGCTGCAAAAATAATTTAAATAAATAAACAACAGGTAATAACAAAGTAAATCTATCAAGATATTTGTCCTCTGGAATTTTTTGTCCTCTGGAATTGTAGCTTCATCATGCGTATTTTTTAACACGTTGTTTCAGCTTTTATGCGTAATACGTACATTGTGATATACTAACAATATTTATATAACGATAAAAAGAACATCTGAGAAATAAGGAAGAACGACTCAATGTTATATAAAACATTCATAAATAACAGCAGATCATGCAACTAGTTCAAGTATATATGTGTATACACGACTGATTTACCTATTATTTACTCATTATAGACTATATCATCTAACGTGATATGCGTGTTATTGATGGTAAGAAGTTTGATAAGGTCTTGAAATGCAATTGACACGAGACCGTAAAAATTTATGACCACAAATTTCTTTGTCTATGAACAATATCTCTTAAAATCTTTTGGGAATCGATAATACCATGCATATACGAGACGAATATATGTCCTACAACGTGTATCTCGATGAAAGTATGCAAACTGCACTTATTTATGCATATGGATAATATACGTAAAGGTCATTCAATGCGGAATATCAATCAACAGCAAGTCGAAGGGATTAAAGACAAACAAATTTGTTAAATGAAACTCGTGAAAACGAATAATCTTTCCGCAAATGTATGCTCCAACCTTGTAAGAGATCGCTAGGCGGACGGGATGCATCCATAAGACCAGGAATCAGCGGAGACTCAGAATTCCTAGATGGAGGGCCTGTCTCAACAGGCGCACACCTTTAGTTAGTGTGTTATTTATACTATCGTACGTTAACCAGAAAAAAAATTAGCCAGAAAATATATCTATACATATCGGCGAACAATCGCAATAACACGCGATTCTACGTGAAAAAATCAACTGAAAATGCAAAAGAAAATCATCTCACATTAAGATCTTAAAATCTCCTTGCGATTTCCGAGAAAATCGGATGAAATAGTCGCACGATTGTCTCTCGTTTGTTTCCAGTGACTTTCAATGATTCTATATGTCAGACAGTTGGAAATTATCAAGATAACGCACGTGAAATTGTTAATTTCTCCTGAAAACGCGATCTCGTACGAATGATTTCTTTTTTCTACATCCGCGATCTACTTTTGCGTAATAAAGTCATCGCCTTCTCGCTTGTACCATCAATAACGAACTCATCCCTGTATAGAGGAAATATAATTTCAAGACAACGTGTGGCGATTTTTTGGATATCGATTGATCGCTGCCTAGCAATCTTTTGCGAGGATTTATCGCACTAACGGTTGTAAACCCTCCGCACACATGTAACAACAATCGTAATTTAACGATTAACATCATGTACACCTGGAAAGTTAGACGTACACGCCGCCGCGCGACTTACCTGAAGAATAAGAACTGGAGGGAAGGTCGGTAGCCGGCGTTTGTGTGTTAACACTCCGAGTGGCCCGTAATAGATCTGCTAAAGGAGCGCGATGTCCTTCGGGTGTGATTTGTTCACGATATCGTGCATACTAAAAAAATCACATACACAACGATCACACACACATCGACAGAATATATCGATTATGGTACGTAGACAGAGAAAAGGGATCCTGCTCTCTATTTGCAAGCAACAGCTAATACGCGTCGACAAATCGCTTCGTCTCAAATCAAGAAAAAAATGTCGCGTCAATAATTCTGAAAGTTCTACCTTGTCTTCTACTGGATGATCTGCGTCGCTAGTATTGGTTTTGAGCACAAGTCCTTCAATTTCTTGATTAAGTCCTTCGATGGACGAACGCATTGGAGGCCTCATCGGTTTCATCGGGATATTCATGGGGCTCGCTTTTGTACTCAAACTAAATTGATTGTCTGCAAGCAAATCGGATATTAGACGCACAACGTTTAATCGATCCTGCCGTGGAACAAACGCAACCCTTCGCAGGATTACTCACGCATGGATGTTTGTGATGCAATACTGGGCAAAAGTACTGAATGATCTCCGGGAAGTGCGGGCGGGGGACCACCTGGCATGATTAACCCAAACGCCGCTGTCCGTTCTCTACTGCTGGTACCCTCTTTGTTTGTACGTTGTAATCTGCGACAAGATGCATCGAGAAGCATATATAATTGATTGATAGCGACGATATAACAAGCAGAAGATACAGTTGACAGTGTGAACACTCACCGATGCCTGAAGTACTTTTCCAATTTCTCATCTGTGGTTGTTTGGTCTGTGGGGTGACGAGTGTGCATCTTTCTCGGCTCGTTGGGCCATTCTTCCGTCTGCAATGAAGATAAAAATTGTTGCATCTGCCAAATCGAGTGTACGTCGAGTAAATCTCATGTGACAATAAACGTATGAGTTGAGGTTCACTTTGCTTCTTTCGATTTCATACGTTTATCACGATTTCTCGTGGATTGTGCTTCTCAGCAACACAGATGTTTCCAGAAAAAGAATATCCTCACCTGAGTGGACTTATCTACCAGAAGACTGGAATGCAGATAATAAGAGTCACGCGGCCACTGTCCCTTCAAGTAGATGGTATCCAGCGACGCTGTTCGTCGAATGCTTTGGCTTCCGCTCAAGCTATCGCTGCAGCGGCCGCTCAACGTTTTTGATTTGGCTGCGAAGCACAAGAACGCTGAATTAATCAAGAGGGTGACCTGAAAATACTCCACTCTAAGTTCGTGTAATCATGTCGTGAAGTACGCGTGTACCAGACCGAGCTATAAGAATTGTTTTCGGTTACTGGACCGACTCTGAGACGTGTGTCTGTGAGACAAAACGATAAAAAGTGAGGCATAAACAATAAGCGCGCACGGTGTAACCGAACTAAAAATGTCTTCTTCGGTTACTGTGATTGTGATGTGTGTGTAAAGATGCAGAAGTGGAAATGTATCGTAACTGAGACTCTGCAAAGTGATTTTTTATGAAAACATAACATCGTGTAAAGTGTGCACAATACAATATAATCAATCGGCATAAGACAGGATTCATCAAATACAATCAGAAGTGAAGTTATTAATGTGTGTATACATATATATACCTACGTATGTATTACATATATATATCACAGTAATGCATAGATATTAGTAACAATGAGAGTGAGATGTTTACTAGATACTTACAAATAAGCAAACTTTTCACAACAAGCAATTACACCCGAAAGTGAATAAAATTATCCCCTGCTCCATTTTTTTCGAATCGAGCGTGACAAAAACACAACACATGGACCTTCTCCCCCGTCTTCACTCCTCCCCATTCTTCGTGCTAAAGCGAGAGATTTCCGATCGAACGACGCATACATAACACAGTCATTTTGACGAGAAGCTCGAGAAATAATCCTGATCGTACAAAGTGATTGTAGTATCTACGTCCCATCTGTATGTGTGTATATGGTGTGTGTGTGTGTGTGTGTGTGTGCGCGCGTGTGTATGTGTGTGTGTACAAATGCAGACAAGCGCTCGGGACCAGTCTTGCGACATACCTCCGACAAGTAACAACATAAGACACCCTATTTCCCACGGAGAAAACGATTCTTGTTTAGCAAAATATTAACCTCGCACAGAACACTCTCTATAGTCTACGTACCTCCTGGGAGAACATGATCCCAAGGAACAGTCCCGCGACTCCGCGCTTCAGAGACAAGCGGCGGTATCGGTCGGACCCATTTTGCGGGTATCCAGAATCATCACTGGGGACTGATCATTTGCCCACGGCGATGAGTCCAGTGCCCGGTGGGAGGTCACGCGCGCGCGACAATATATCAAGGGTACGTACTTCTTTCTCTATCTATCTACCTCTCTCTCCCTCTCTCTCTCTCTCTAGCGCTCTTTCTCTACCTCTCTCTTTCTCTCTCGCTATCTCTCTCTTTCTTACACCGGGTGAGAGCGATTCCACGAGCAGCACAAAGAACGAGCGCCCGCGGCACGACGGTGGCGGCGACGTACCTTTATAGGACAGGGACCCGGGGCTCCGCTGTCCCGAGGAAGACGACGTCTCCGGCGAGATGCGTGCCCGCCAGGCCGCCGCGTTCGTCGGCGAGACGGTGGGACTGTTGCTGTTGCTTTTTCGTAGACTGCTGCCCTGCCGGCTCTGCCTCAAGAGCGAGCTTACGGGCAGGGTAGCGCGCATCGGGCCCTGCTTCGAGCATGGCGAGGATTTTCGCATACGCTGCGAGCTCGACATCTTCCTCTCTCTCTCTTTCCCTCACGCGGCGTGCGAGCGGCGCCGGCGAGCGATTCGCAGCTCCACGGAGCGGACGCGCGCACCTGGCGGCTTCCTCTTGCCAAAAAAAGCGGCTTTCTCTCAGGGCGCGGGAGCACCGACGAAGTCGCGCGCGCACAGACTAACGACCACGACTATCGGGAGGACGCCCGTCCGGCGCCTCGACGCGGAGGACTCACTGAACGCGACCACCGACGGGATTTTCACCGACTACCGGAAGGATTCACTCAGCGAGGTCGACGACGGCGGCAGCGGCGGCGGTGACGGCGGCGGCGGCGGCGGCGGCAGCAGCGGCGACGACGGCGGCGGCGGCGCGACGACAATGCCCTACGCGTCTTGTCATTTGCAATGTTCTGCTGGCTGGCTCAGTACGCGCGTCACGTGATACCCCGTACTCGCTGGCCATTGGTGGCGCGCAGTGCCCGCGGAGCGTCGTACTACGCGAGGACGTGCGGCACACCGCGTTCCATTCACTACCACCGTAGCACCCAGCACTGTAGCCGCCAGTGTGTGGTAGCTAGCGTCCTATCGCCGTCTCGCTCCTACTCGCAAGCTCAGCCTGTCTTTTTCTCGCACGTGCGCTCGCTCGCGCGCGCTCAGGGGCGTATCGTTCAAGCGGCGGTCAGGCGCCGAGCGCGCGCAACGCGATGCTTCGTCGTTCTTGAGTTTGATCGTGATGCGACGCACCGGTGATTGATTTGACCGGTGAAGATTTTGACGGTCTAGGTGATACAGTACGTTGTCCAGCGTGTGAAATGTGGGATTTCAAGACTTTCGGTTTTTTTTTGCGCTCTTATGAAACAAACACGCTTTGTTGTACGATATATTGTCACGTGGTACGTCAAAATGACACGTTTCTTTTGCGAAATTGTTATTCGTTTCTCGCTAAATGACTCCTAGTTTGTGGAAATTTGGATCAGCCTGATCAGAAACATAAGATGTTTAAACGCTTAATACGATTGTACAAAAATGTTATGAAATTATGAAGAATATATCATGCATATGATAATTATCAGTCAATCACGCCAAGTTTATGACAGGCGTAACTTGTTCGACTTCTAAGAACAAGAAATATGAATTCAAATCATGAAGTTAGATGACCCGTGACGTGAAACCCGTTTCGCGGAATTTTGAAGTCAAATTCCTCGCATGCAAATAGCTTACGCAATATCCGCACAACAAACTTCGTGATCTCACTATTCGCAAAGTCGCTCTCGCATTCATGTAAGCGCAATCGCGCGATCCAGTGCATACAATGGCACGTAATTAAATCGTAAGCTTAAGAAATAAAATATCTATCACGTACGTATACTAAACTGAGTAAATTGTGCTTTTCTCTCTTGTCAATGCCACCTATCAATGCTGACGACCGACGGGGTGACACAGCGGAATGTCACGTACCTGCCGCATTACTAAAGAATAGCACACTTTTATTCTCGATGAATCAAGCTTATATACGTTTATTTACAATATATTTTATGTTACAGCGTGTAGTCATGGGAGATACACAGAAAAGTATTACAGCTACATTATATATAATATAATATAAAATGACGTATGACTAGATTAAATAATATCAAGAAATACAAACAAGGAATATCAGTCTGAATTTGGATGGTGTTGATGGATGGCTGAATTATTTTTCTACAGAAGAGAGAAAGAAAATGCGAATACCGAGCAAGTTTCGTACGATTACCCACGAAGTCTCGATTTACTCGAGAAACACAAAGTCAAGCTTAGCTTTTAGAACCTGTCAGACTTTAAGGTCCGGTTGCACCGAGCAGTAAGTTGACTAACAGTTAAATCGTATGTCTGATTTTGTTTGTTTTGAAAGAAAAACACTTCCACTTTTTAATCTTGCCACTGGTGCAACCGGGTCTAAACGGAACATTCACCGCCTTTACGTTGCAACCGATTCGCGACTCTATATGATGATGACTCTGCGCGAACGACACGTTGAACAACTAATGGAATCCAGAAGATTCCCGGGCGCACATCCTCCTGTCGTTTCGTAATTAACACGGATCGTTCGCGACGGACTCTGCGAAATCAGTCGTGGACCTGCTTCCATCATGAGCGACCTGTGTCGTGCGCTTTCCTTTCGACCACCTTGACCGTCACGTAACGCGATCAACTCATATTTTCCTCGGACTTACAACACTCGCGTACTCGGCCGACGACTTCGCTTGCCCGCTTCATCGCGTGTTCGTGCCGAAAAGCACGATCCTGAAATCTTCAAGGAGATACAGACACGATTCGCGTACAATCGTCGTGGCGGCCAAAGTGTTGAAAGCGCACGTGAATCGCGGTCTGAAGAAAAGAAAGCTATATAATCAATTGTCACAATAGATAAACCGTATCTTCTCAATAAAGGCACTGTCATGCTTTTCGCGCTAAGGACTAACGTGATAATGCGTTTCGTAGTGACTCGTCGTGTTTCGTACATGCATACAAGCGATATGCAGCGTAGCCTACGATAGATCACTCTGCGAAGCAGTTCGTGAGGAATGTTGTATCCGCGATACAGTCTAAAAAGAGAAGGAAAACGGAGAGAGTTACTACTGGGGGACACTGCGATGATACAGATTGCAGAACTCATTGTTGTCCATCTTGCGTCTCAACTTGAACCTCGTGTGTATCCTACAGACGATTTTTCTAACATGTTTTTCATCAGCACAGGGATGTCTCTCTCTTTCGTCAACATTGAGACGACTGTGACTCTATGAAATATAACTGTACAATCTACGTAAAAAAATAAGATAATGGCATAAATATCGAGGTTGCGATTATGTGCATAAAGATTGATGGTTGCGCGAATATGTATAAATATTACACGAGAGAGAGAACCTCTCGCTGAAAACGAAACAGAGGAGCCATTAATACACGTGTGTAAGTTTATCACTTTCGGTCGAGCAATAAGTATCAAAGAATAAGTAGATATGCATCATGATGATATCATTAACACTTTTCATGATTACAACCATAGTCTTTAGACGGCCGTTAAATACCTGCGGATGTATGAGGAAGTGATTGCGCGATACGGTAAATCCTGTTTGCTAGTATATTCGTGCCAGTCCTTCGTGTGATTTATTCAGTAACTTAAGCCGAATAATGTACATCATAAAACATGTCTCTCAACAATGAAATCACGTGCACGATAAAATTTACAAAAATTGGGGTATCGCGTCGTCGTCGTCGTGATAAACAGCGAGCGATTCGATCGCGACGAATGATTCTGCATAGGCCTCCTGAGAAGTGCATTTTGTTGCCATTATTGAGAATCATGTTTTACAGACAATTTCGAAGATACTTGTGTAAAGAAACCATGTTGCCAATTTTATAGAGATTTATGATAATACTGAAAAAATATATGTACAATTCTTAATATACTTTCTAGTTATCTTACACTAAGTGTATAATTTACGCTTTGCTTAATTAAAAAATCACGTAGTGCCAAAGTTGAGTAACTTAAATTTCATGTCTGTTAGGAAAACGAAAAATCTCCTGCGAGTTGTAAATACCTCAAGATTCGTGAGACGAAAAGAAAAGAAAATAGAAAAAGTGAGGTCAAATAAAAAGCAGATAACGAGAAACTCAGTTCTTTTCAATTGCACTGAATAAATCGACAGATATGAAATCGAATGCGTGAAACAGCAGAATAGAACGAATTTAATGAGTGTGGACAGAAATGTTAAAAAATACAGAAAGTTCCAAATTTGATAAAACGTCCGTATGATCTCAAGATTATGGTATTTTAGGTGATTTATTTACATGTGATTGATTTTATATTACGTGACGTATTTTATCGTGACTATGGTGTAAATGAACATGGAACGGCAGTGTGTATATGCGTACAACTTCTATATAGTAACAGTACATAGCCGCGAACAGTGATTCGACGCCTCCTTGTTTAATTTGATCGAGCTAATTAAAAAAAATTTTATCTGAGATAAGACAAGAGAGACCAGCTTGTTTAATTCTATTTCTTTAATTGAACTGTTCATATTCCATCGGACGAACGTTTGCTCGTGCGGATTTCAACCCAATCTTATCTTCAAAGTCTGTGCTTTTGCGAACCAAAAACAATGAACAGATCTTTGGATATCAATAGAAATTAAATGAATTCAATAACGAAAGATCGAAAATAACGAAAGTCTCTTATAAAATTTGACAAAACTAGGAGGGAGCGAATCTCTCGTTGTCCGCGGTATATTATTATTAGTCAGCGACAAAACAGAGTTGTTTTACGCATTAAAACGATTAAATATTAATCGCGCGATGACTTAAACGGTTATAAAATATTAAAGTATACGTACAGTAAGTACTGAGCATTCCGGATGACTCTGTTTTGTATGCGCGGTAAAACAGTTGTATATTCATAATGTATCTACGCGAGGAACGAGAGAGAAAGTGAGGTTGAACACAAAAAGTTGAAACAAAATTTTAGAAATAATAAAGGCGAAGCGTAAATCGTAATACAACAGCAATGCAGCAATATATATTGCCTAATGAAAATTCACATTTCCTCTTTGTTATTATTATTTCGCCCCACACTTTTCCTGCTGCATAATTTATAAACTATATATAAAAATTTATAAAAAACAGGCATTATATCCATCACAAAATACGCAACGTTACAGCTACAAGTTCCACAAAAGAAAATATGAATAAATAATTTTAAATTAGATTGACACATTTGGTATGTTCGCAATGGACTTTCTCCCCACTCGCGACCGAATTTTGATACTCGAACGAACGACTTTTCTTTACCAATACCTGTATTTCTTTATACAATCATTGCCCAGGTCCACCACTACTAGGTGATTGTTCGGTAGTATGGCTATGCCTGCAGGACGTCGTAATTTCGAGCTGTGAGAATCGATTTCGGTTAAGATATTTCCTCCACCTAGCTTCAATACTTGTATTATGCTACGACCCTTGTCCGTTCGGGTACCGAGTACCTTGCCGTCTGCATCTACGGCTATTCCTCCGTAAATGCCTTTTCCTGTCGCACACATAAATCAATATATAAACACTATATAAATCAATATATAAACACTATATAAATCTATATAAACACTATATATATAAACACTAAATAAATTAATATATAAACACTAAATAAATTAATATATAAACACTAAATAAATTAATATATAAACACTAAATAAATTAATATATAAACACTAATATCTGTAGTTTGACTGCAGATTTAGCACTGTATTTAACTAAATAACCCTCCAACTCTTGTTCTGATGAAACTTACCCTTTCCCTCAGAATATATTTCTTCAGAGAAATCTCCTTTCGCAGAAAACACCTGAATTCTGCTGTCGGCAACTAAAATCTCACCGTCAGGGCCAACAGTGACGGAACTGATCAGCTTAAACGTGCCTCTCTTACCGACCTGTTCAAGTTTCATACGAGGGATTATTGTACGATTATTGTCACATACTTAAAATATTCATATAAAAAAATCTGAGGAATCTGAGAGATCCTATAAAGATTCGGGATACTCAGTATAAATACTATATATAAATTAATATAAAACATTAATATTTACCTGAAATAGTATCTTGCCGTCTGAGTCAAATACAAACACACAACTTTGGCCATTGTCAGCGACGAGTATATGTCCGTAACTCTTGTCCACTGCAATGTCTATCGGTTCCTGAAAGCAGACAGTGTCTCATGATTAATAACTGCTTCTGTCATTTTCTGTAAAGAACAGTACAAGTTACTAACTTGAAACGCGTTATGCGAAAAGGATCGAATTGTGTCACCTAACGAAGTCATCTCCGTAATCGTTCGCGTTCGCCAGTTAACGACTACGAGACCCTGCTGAGAAATACATATTCCCGTGCAACTACGGCCCTCCAAGCCTTCATTGTTGATGTGTCTTTGAAACTCTAGATCACAATTGAGTACCTGAAACAATAAAAACAAAATTCTTGAATTAGGAAAAATGATTTCACCGTATAAAAGCAAAGATACATATTTTTATTACAATTTAACTATTTTAGTTCTTGGAAAGAAATGTCACAGTACACACAATAATTTATCTCAATAATTATCAATAATTAATACGCCAACTACTATATTGTCGCAAACTCACCTTGATGCGAGAATTTCCAGTATCCAAAATATAGATCATCCCTTCGTCATCCACTGCGACCGAGACTGGTTGATGGAATTCGTCCTTCCCATTGCCGCGTCTCCCGTATATCTTGATCGGCTCATTATGTTCGGTCGCGTCGAAGAATAACGGATAATCTTTTATAGGACGTTCAAAGACCGACACCTTCAAGACGTATCGGCTCGCGATCGGCGGACGGAAGTAAATCTCATAAGTTCCGTTCTCCAGATCCTTCACCTCAGTCTCGATGGGAGCGCTTTGATTTTCCACGTGGATGTTATCTGTGAGCGTCAGCTCGGCGCCGATAAGATCACCGCCTACATTCCGCGGATGGCCATGATAATCCACCGTTTCGACTATGACGGTCGCTTGTAGCTTCACTATCGCCAGATCCTTCATCCTGGCTCGACATAAACCTGACGCAGGGTATGAAAATACGTATAAAAAATACGTCGCATCGCTCTCGCGATATCTGATCCGTTGCTGTAGGCATTAGATTATCATTACAGAAGTAAATTGAAACGCAGCACGTTCCCGCATTCTATCGCTGGTATTGGGAGTAGTAGTCATTCCTGATATTAATCGATGACTCTGTCTACATTGTGCAACTTCTCATTTCTGATGTCATAACTCAATACAATGACAGCGACGGATCAGATGACTTAATCTTCAATGTTATCGTTTCACGTAGCGTAATCGGTTTGTTGAGACAATATCAACAAATAATTGATGAACGAGTGACCTAAAGCGTGTATTTTACTACACTATCAATCCTTATGGTACCTGGTAATGTTGTACTAGAACGTACTCGTCCTAAGTTAGTCAGTGCTTGCTCTAACTGCGAGAGAGCGTCGTTATGATTGAATTCGACCGTGATAAAGGCATTCTCCTTGGGCTCGCTGAGGGCGGTCGCCGCGTCGAGCTGATCGGACAGGCTGTTAATACGTTGGGTAATATTCCGGACCTCGACCTTAAAGATCGGATATCCCATTGTGAAAGGCGACGAGGGAAGCAATACTATGTACATCTATGATCCCTTCTTCTATATTATTACCCTTTACCTGATATTGCAGTCCTTCGCATTCTCTCTCCACCTTGCTCTTCTCCGCCTCGATAAGGGAGTGCTGCTCCTCAAGCACGTGTTTCTTGTCGCGTGCAGCAGCGGTCACAGCAGCCTGCAGCTCTGACCGGCGTCTCTCTATCTTGGCGATGATCTCTGCGAACTCCGTGTCCACTGCGTTCAGACATCTCTCCGTGGAGGCTTCCAAACGCTGCAGCTCCGTGCTCACGGAATCTTGTGCCTGTGTTAACTAAACGGCGCAACTCTTGACTCATTAAAGATTGAGCAATGTCTGATGCTATGATCACCGATAGTGATTCCTCGCCGTTCGGTTAAAAAGAACTAATTTTCACCTTTGATATACACTCGTTGGCTTTATAAAGCAGTATCTCGGACATTCGTTTGATCGCGATGCTGAACGGGATAATAGTGTGTTCCGTGCATCCAGGTGATGTCCCCGCGTGAGTCCCGCCCGTGCATACCGTACAAAATACCGTGTCGCAAGTTTCGCAAAATAATAATTCCTGATTTATATGAACTGAACACTTTGGAATGACCTGTAATGAAGAGTAGGAAATAGTGGCAATATTAGAAATTTTATTCAAATGAGAACCTATTTCTCTTTACGTTTTGTTTATCCATACCTCTCGTCTTTGTCGGGACATGAGGTCCAGAAGTTGGTTCACGAGAAAACTCGGCGGCAGCGCGGATACTCCTCCGCGGGGGATTGTTATTAATTCTCTACAAATAGGACATCTGAACGCCCCTGTTTCTCGTGTTTGAGATGCAGCAATTCTTGTCAGACAATGCAGACATACCTGCAACATGAACACAGATATGAGATCAATAAGATATATATAAGATTATAAGATTAATAAACTTCATTTTGTTCTCAATAAGATATGATGAATCTATAAAGTACATATATAATTTTTATCAAAACCCTCATATGACACATAGTTTACTACTTTATACTTGTATAAACTGTACCGTGTGTGAACATGGTAACAATTTAGGTGTATGTTCACTGCCATCGTAAACACAGAGACAGGTGCCACATGTTAGAAAACTCTCATTGAAATCTTCATAATTTATGCTGACTGTCTCCACGAGCATTGAACTCATGCTGACCATCCTCTCCCCAAGCCGCGTCCTACAAGAAAGAAAAACTTGTCAGTAAAGATCAACATCAACCAGACAGAAGAATATTAAGAAATAATGCTAAACAGACCTAACATATTCATATGAGAAAAAAACATTATATAAATTAAAGTATATAAGATTAAAAATAAACATACAAATTTGTTAAGCACATTATTTGCTTTAATTTTACAAATCATACATCTGTATATTTCTTTATTTATATACATAAATTTATAAATTTTAAATATTTGTTATATTTTTAAATATGCTGTATTAAATTTTAAACATATCTAAGATCACTCCATAATCTGCTATTTGAAAGTTTATTTGAATCATCATAAGTCGTATGAGAAAACTACACGCGCGTTATGCATAATAGGAAAAAAAAAACACTCAAACCGAGTGCATCCGCCGTAAAAGAAGCACTCACTGTATAGCCAGGCGCAAAGCCTCCATAATGGCTGTATCCTGGACGCCACTCTATCTATTTAACGCACGTTTTATCATCCGCGTGAATATGTACTCCAGCCTTATCGCGCGCTGCGGGGATGCTCCGCACAAGTCCCAAAGAAATCAAAGACCACAAAGTGCATCTTGCGTCGCTCTTTCTCTCTCTCTGTCTCGCGAGCGTCACCCCCGCGCTGTCGTCAAGCCGCAGAAGAAAAACGCAACGCCGTCACCGAATTGCGATAGACAACCCCGCGCTCCGACCGAATCGACACGACCTCGCCAGACAAGAAGAATCCTCGCTTAGAATCGCGCGTCCAGGTCGCGCGAAGCGTCTTCCACGCTAACGTCCGCGCATCTCCCAGCGGGTATAAATCTCCCAGCGTATAAATAAATGCAGCCGCGCCGCCGGGATGCACGGGTAATGCACAGCCGGAGGATCCGCAAGTCCGGTCGCCCTTTGTTCTACCGTCGCTGCTGCTCCTCCTCCTCCTCCTCACGGTCCATTGTTCGGGCGCGCGCGAAAGAGTGATCTATTAGCCCACACACCGCGTTCAATTCTACCGACCGCATCACCGATTAATTTAACGACGTTGCCCTCATCTAGCCGAGTCCGATTTTCCCGGCAGCGGGACGCTTCGCGCGGTCGAAGACGGGACCGAGGGGTACGACTCTATTAGGAAGACTAGGAAGACGATGACGGTCAAGAACGTTAGCGCAGATCGCGGGGTCGACGACGACGGCGTCGAATCTCGACGCGGCGCATTTTTCTAAACGGAACACCACGACGCGGCGGCGACGGGCCGCATCAGCTGCGGAGCGCGACTCGCATTCACGTACATACAGCTGAGCTGCTGCGCGTGGCTGCGCGCACGTTCGTCGCCCGCGGCTGCAGCCGGCGCCAACGACAGTGACGTAGTGTGCGTGGGTGTCGCGTTACTTCGGAATTTCTTTCGGAGCATCCCCCGGCTCTTCGTGGCGAGCGCGCAGATCCTCTGCGGGGATCGGGAGTTATCTCGGTTTCGTCACGACCTTCTGCCTTACATTTCGAAGCCGCGGGAAGTTTCGTCACGAGTGATCTCGATGTTCTCGTTTTAATTGGGATTTAATTCAGTACTGTACGCTCCTGAAAATTAGTTGCGATGCCGCGGCGCCAGCTGCGCGAGACTCGCGCCGGAGAGAACGCGAGGGAAAGAGAGAGAGAGAGAGAAAGAGAGAGACGGGCTACGCACCGTGAATGCAAAAGCAACGGCATAAAGAAATACGCGTATTGCAGATCCGCGAATTCTCCACTGCGTAGTCCCGAGAGGTGCAGCGACCAGCGTGTTTGCGCTTAACTTGTAATCAGCATGTGTGCACATGTAGAGTCGTGCGCAAAAAGTCTCTGAAGTCCAGTATGTTTGACTAGATTATTAATTAAGGTGAAGTCGCTCATAAAATAGAAACGAGAGAGTATAAATATGAATCGATATATAGAGACGTGTATAAATTTTCTAATAATCAGACCGTGTTTGTAAGAATCTTGCAAATGAAAGCTGCAAGAGAATAAAGATAAAATGTAAATATGAGAAACTCACATAAAAGGGCAGCAGCTCATGAAGCTTCCTTTGATAATAGCAGATCTCCGATTACTTCTAAACGCACGGTCCGAGTTCTTGCTAGCCAAGAATGATTTTACATAGTCATATTTCCATTCATTTGTTCTGCTGCATCCACGAACAAAGTTGAGAATGCAGCAATCCCTTGATTTTCCAATAATTGCACCAGTCACCTGAACAAAATAGAATTTATGTCGGCATTTGCCATGCAAAAAGAAGAATTTTATTTCATAGACTCGCACAAAACATACATAAAATTGTGTGATTATATATAAGAGAATTTTTAAGTATTAAGTTTTTGTACGTCCAAAATCAATTGCCGGATTAATTAGATAGATACATTGTCCGTGTCGATTAATCACGCGACGTGTCCATGTTTTCATGTTTGACGCATCTTCGAAGCGCTTCCATAAATAATTTCACGAGAAACCCTTATCTTAATTGGGCTTTTATCGTTTCATAACGGGTCGTCAAACTGCTAATGTGTGACGACGCGCGTAGGTTTTCGCGTGGAAACTTTCGCGACTCGGACTTGACCAAATACGTTTATTATTTTATACACAAAAAGATCTCTCCTGGAGTTTCCACCTGAGGTCGATACCGCGCACAATTCGAGCACACGTATGCGCGCACGTTCACGTGCGGGAGAGGGACGTAAACACAAGTCATGGAAGCAACGTAAACACAGGAACAGACCGTCATGTCGCGAAACCGAGAAACCGTATCAACGCGATATCAAAGCTTTGCGAGAGGCTCTATCTCGATGACACGTTAGTTCGCCGGTGCATTAACCCCTCTGGTCTGTGCCGGAGCTGATAAACAATGCGAGTATGAATGTTCTCACGAGCGAAACACCTGACGCGCTCTCGTACTTTATCTGCGAATCTCCGTACGAATTACGCGTTTTTCAAACACGCGCATGCGACAATAGGCGAGTTTCTTAATTCATCAATGGATCCATCGCATGATGCGTAAATACAGCGAAACATTGCATTTGCGCATCATGCGATGGATCCATCAATAAATTAAAAAACTCGACCAATGTCGAAGTGTGTTGTTATTACTAATGATAACGCGCGAACTTCCGTGCTCCCAACGATGAGAAAGAGAGAGAGATAGATAGAAGTAAAAAGATAGATCGAACTCCTGCGTTCTTCGATTTTGCAGCTTCCTCGTTACCGCAACGTTCATTCACTTCGCACACGAACTTCGGGAAATATCTTCCCGCGAATACTTCGCCGAGATCCTCGCAGTTTCGCGCGTATTCTCCGCACATCTGAACACGAATTCCATCCGTCGAGGAAGCGAGAGACGGACGGAAAGAGAGCGCATCACCTTTCATGAGAATCGCACTCGACCAGAGTCACGATGCAAAGGCACAAAAGCAAACGAACAGCGGCCGGCCGGCTGGTCGCTCGATCGTGGCAAAACACTCGACGAGTTTCCGCGAATCCGTCGGAAAGACGCCGGGAGCGCAAGTACGCGAGGATACTCACTGGATCCTGAGAACGTCGTTTCCGTGTTTACGACGTCACACATCACACGCGACTCAAGATCGAAGCGCCGAAGTTTCACAGGAGTCGTCGTTCCGTTCGAGACATGATTGCGATCACTCAATGGATCCTCTTAGTTATCCGCCTCAGGATGGCACAAGGACAAGGATATCGATCTCCCGGGCTGCAGCAGGTGTCACGGCACCAGCTGTCGTCGTTCGCACTGCGAGGCGGCGACCACGACGATCCAGTTGACAACGGCGATGACGACGACGACGACCACGACGACGACGACGAGAGGGAGAGAGATAATGAAAGAGAGAACGTGTATGTTAGTCTTCGCGCAGCGAAGCGGGGATGAAAACACACCCTCGGGAGTGCGAGTCGCGCGCACGCGCGCGTCGCGCGATTTGGGTCACGCGGCGCGCGTTGCCGCCGCGACGCAGCGAAACATGCAATTTCCCCGACTCGACCGGGACGACGACACGACGGTGCCTCGCATCCGTAGCGCGCACGATTCGGGTCGGCCACGGTGCACGTGAACGTTGACCTCTTCCATCATCTAATACTCGCGCGCGAGACAGTCAGCCTTGGCAAACCGGAATATCATCATCTTCAAGTCACTTGGAAACGATGCCGTATTTTAATAAAGTTTCCTAATAAAATATAACTCATCTGATCTGTCGCCAATTTTAACTGGCGCAAGTAACGGCGCTCAAGGGTGCTCGCTCGCGCGCGAGAGTCGACCTCGGCGAACGGAGATATCATAATCTCCAAGTTATTTAGAGATGATGATGTATTAATAAAGTTTCCTAACAAGATATAGCTCTTTTGATCTGTCACCAATTTTCATTAATTACAAGTAACAGCACTCGAGATCTCAAGGGTGCTCGCTCGCGCGCGAGCGAGAGTCGACCTCGGCGAATTGGGATATCATAGTCTCCAAGTTACCTGGAGTTGATGCCGTGTTAATGAAGTTTCCTAATAAGATATAACTTGTCTGATTTGTCGCCAATGTTAGTTGATTTTACAGCGCTCGAGATCTCGAAGAGACTTGCCTAGAGCTTCTTCAACCCTCGAAGAGAGACTCCACGGCGAGCGAACCTCTTTCGAATTTCGGGAACGGACATGGACGTTTCTGAAGCGGATCATCGGGTAACTCCAGAAGAAGAGCGGCATCGGCGATCATCGATGACGGTGCCCGATCAAAGCCTGATGATCCGTATCCTCGGCTTAGAACCCTCGAAGACGTAGCGAGTCCGGCCGCGCATCAATCCTCTCTACTATTAATCGCTTGGTCCTCGCGTTGCACGATCGTTGATTCTACATCGATCGTGCCCACGTTTTTTTCTTATTTCCCTCTCGGCGCGCTATTTTTCGCGCGCGAAATCCACCACCTGCTGTCCGGCGGCAGCTACGACGTGCTGCGACGTTCTAACCCTTGAAGCAACGTTGAATGCACTCGAACGCGAGCATGCGCCGCTCAAAGTGGGTCATTAGGAGCTTGACCGAAATCTTCGGCCAAGATTTCGCGCTAGTTCCTTAAATTCGCCGATCGTTAATCGGTGAGATCACGGCGCATGACTTGTTCGTCGTGGCCGCGCTGGCCAGTGTTTTTTCTTTTTTCCCAAATATGCCAATCTTTTTTAGACTTCGTCTCGCGATTCTATTAATTTGTCAGGTGCAGCACTGTCTACCTAAAACGAAGACTGTGATACAAATAGACATATACGCTGCGGACGTACAAAGCGTTGCATCTTTATTCACCTCCATTCTTCAGTTCGCCGCGGTGCAACTTAACGTCTGGCGTTGTTGAAATTATGCTAATGCCAATTACGCGCAATTGAAAAATATCCAGTTAATGTAGATCGCGTTACCGGCTGTCGCTTGAGTCGCGATAAAACATGCGCCGTACTTTAACTCGCACGTCCTTATGTTTTTTTTGCGCATTCGCATTGCCTCCCTTGATGCGAGGATTAATTAAAAGAGATAGCAATTACATATTTGTGCTATACTCGTGTGGGAAAACTTGAGACCATGTTATTTGGGTACAAAAGGTCATCATGCGCACTGAAAACGGTGAATATTTATTGCTACTTTTCCGTAGTGAAATAAGATAATCGTTAACTTCGTTATTCGGCAACCAATGCGCGCTTTTCGAAGAATAACGATTCTCCCGATCTTAAACTGTCAGTTTCCGCTGCCATAAAACAATTTATGGCAGCGCGATTGAAGGTTTGGTTTATCCGTGCGGGACGTTGGTAAAAACTGAGTCCTCGGCATGATATACATTCATTGTCAGTCCGAAGATCCTGCGATTTCTTGTTAATAGCTTGCTTATTTGACATGCGTATTGATCCAATTTATGTAGGAGAAGACTCGCGTGAATACGTCCGGTTGTCCTTTAGCGCAGGGTATTCCCCAAGACACTACTCCGATCTGCTCACCATCGGCCACCAAAGGACCACCAGAGTCACCCTGCGCACACGTATCCGAATAATGCGTTAATTCCAATCTGACGTTGCAAATATTGTATTATAAATTCGATGATTTCATGAACCATCAATTTTTTCTTCACACAAATTCTTTTCGATATTTGATTTTCGGATAAATTAAATTACTCCACACGGCGAAAAGAACTACTTTTATACTCGGTCGAGCTGAAACACTCACGTGACACGCTCCCTCGCCCTTTTTGTTGAGTGTGCAGATATTATTGTTGGTGACGCGAAAGCTGGTGCTCAAACAATCCTTTTGATCAATCACTGTCAGCTCGAGATGCTGCAGTTCGTTTGGTGTTTCGCCCGGATACTGCAACGATCCACATCAAATAATTAAAAGGGAATCAAATAATCATGATATTCTTTAGAAAAACTCTTTTCGAGTAAAAGAAAAAAGTAATCAGAGCCGAGCGACATAGTGAATTCATTAATTTTGAAGAACACAATAAACTTTTTGCACTTCATATATCGACCCAGAATGATTAATTACCTTTAAATTAATTAATTGTAAGTACTTACATCAGTCGTGCCCCATCCGGACAGCATCGCCGGATAATTCGATTTGTTGAAGTTATGGGTGGGCAGAGCGATTTTCTGTATATTATCTCCAAAGACAATATTCTTGTTAAGTTGGACTAATCCGATGTCGTTCCAAATGAGGGTGGAACTATATAAAGGATGTATTATTCTCTTCACTGAATTGTACACGTCGCCACCTTTGTCCAAAGTGGTTGAGCCCAGCACGACGGTGATGGCCGTGTCGTTTAAACTGTTAAATATATATTATAAAAACGTTATATATATAGAGAAGTTATTAAACATAATATCAATTTTACGATTGCTCAAATTTTCACTGTAGCAAGTCCTATAAAAGAAACAAATTTATTTAATATTCCTTGACAACATATGCGTTTTATTGTATCTGTAGTAGCAAAAGGAACTCTCCGCTTACATTTATTACAAAATTATAGTAAAAATTCAAGCGCTTAAAATCGATTCTTATTTTTTTGCGTGATTTTCCGAAGTTAATTCTCGCTTGAGTTTGACAAAATTCAAAGTAACATTCACATTTTAGAGAAATACTTACCCGACCAAACAATGGGAAGCTGTAAGGATCCATTGATCGCCTATGATGGAACCGCCGCAAAAATGTCGATTACGTACACGAAGGGACGCTTGATAAGGGAATTGTCCTTCACTAGCCGCACTACCGCCTACGATTTTTGGGTTTTGATCGGGCGTCTCGGCTGTTCAATTATAGAAGCATATTATAACAACTTGTCGCTTACATAGAATATGTAGAACTGTTTTTATTGTGTAATTCGAAGTTGATTTTATCAGTAATGTCGCGGGAAATCGATATTTTGCTTTATATATTTTAACACTTATTTTTTAACATTATATATTTTAACGCTCTCTAGTAACTCAGTAAACTTTAACATAAAATCCCGTCAAAGTTCTTTAAAAATGTAACAATACGAATAAGATCAGAAAAAAACTCAGATATTTAACATATTTTACATTTTTACCTGATAATCCATGTATAGCAATTACGCCGAAGATATAGACTACTGATAACATGTTTTTTTTTTTAGCAAAATAACGAAATTAATTGAAAAACAAAACCTCTCGTTCTTGCTTGGTCTCAGGTCCAAAAGTTTAATGCCAATTGAAACGATGGTTCGTCCAGTGTCGGTCTTTATATACCGGCAAATGTGCTTCACGAAGCAATTAGGTAAATGTCGTATATTTAAATTTAGGTCAGATACTGTCCATGAAAAGAAAATATATTGACTCCGATGTATCTCACGTACGACGCGATACGTAGAGGGTGATATGTCAGTACCTGCGGAAATATATGACCGGATGGTTACTATCAAGTTGTGAAAAAAAGCGTGTCATTAAAATGTTACCAATGGAGATTAAATCCGGTGTTCTTACCTTGATAAAGAAGAAGTCAGTGTCCTTTGGCGAGTATTAAATGTCGAATATTCCATGTAATATCATGTGTACAAATCAAATTTTTTTTTCAAAAGTTCCTTAGATCAATTTGGTGCTGCGTGAATACTTGAAATGATCAAATGCGCAACGTAAGAGAACATAGACGTTACAAAATTCGTACGAAATACATTGACAAAACGAAAAAACTGGAAAACCTGTAATAAAGAATGTAATATAATGGAGACTTAGGATATTGCCATTACTTCGTATCGCGAAATTGTGGAAAACGAGATGCACGTTATCACACGATTTTGCGTTTCGCACAGTCGCATCGCTCGCACGGCTATTTGATTTCACGGTAAACGATATGCGACATAGCGGGTATTTACAAAAATTTACTGCAGCTTCGTAATAGTTTTCATGCCTCTCAGCTGCGTTCGCCGAGTGGCTCGATAGCGAGCTCGTTTTCGGTTTATGCGTTTCGCCTGTGAAAATTTCAGTGGATCGATTAACACAGTTGGCGAAATTAATTGGGTTAATTAAAATTAGTTGGAAAACTCATCGGAAAATTGATAAGACATCTCTCACTCCCGTACGTTTTCAATATCAAGATTATCATGAAAAGCATACATTACAAATATTGCCAATTTTCTTTCTTGTCAATCAATTTGAGTGGCGCAAAATTAATTCGATCGCGCGGTCATATCACTGTTTCTCAGAATTAAAAACGTAATATCTGGGGAAAAAGGAAAATCATGAAGATTCCTTAGCTACGAGGGAATACGGAGAAAGGCTATATGGCAGGTTGAATGGAGACGCAGCGGCGTGTTCAACTCGAAGTTTCTTTATTGAAAGGAATCGGAGGCAATGCGAGCCGCGTTACGTCGCGTTGTCACTTTCAAACAAGTCAAAGTCAAACCAGTCGCCTTCAACATCGGATTCACGTAGTCGGAAGCGTCGTCTAGCGGCAATATTACAACGGCCATTCGACACGTTATCATTCCAAGCACGAAGTCCCGCGTTCAAGCGCAACCTCGACAACGACAACGATGATGACGACGTTGTCATCGTCATCGTCGAGTGAGCGTGTACTTCGCAACGCGCATTTCCCCCGCGAACAAGTCCGTATAAAATATGCATGTATTCACAACCAGAGGTTTAAAATCAAGACACAGTACCGTTTCTCGCCTATGTTGTAAATAAATAAAAATAGAAAAGCTCGGTAATATATAAGTAATCTCTATTGCGCATATCGTTGCTTCCCTCCATCACTTCTTCCTCATTCCTTCCGTTCTTCCTTTTTTTCTCTCTCTCTCTCCTTTCCTTCCCTCTTACGCTCTTCTCTTAAAGAATGTAAGGAATCTTAATGAATACCCCGTCTCGTAAATACAAAAGCTACAATGTTTCGGTTTATCACCTGCGGATTTCGCTCGCCCGCACGCAACAAGTGTGTCCCTTAAGTATCTGCAAAAAGTAAAATTGCGGCATTTTTTTCATCGTTGAACGTCCGGTGTCGCACGCTCAGTAATGGATCGGCGTTTCTGGCATGTGTTCGTTTGTTTGTGTGTGTTTCGAAGATATATATCTATATATAATCAACTATCTCGCGCGTGTGTACGTATAGTACTTGTATATGACAATCACCGTGTACCATACTGAAGCGGCATTAAAACTTTATGATTGTCTAGTACATTTCTCAGATAATTACATAATATAATATACACGTTTATATACTATATAATTATTCATTTACTCTTTATCTCAATGAAGTTCCACGCCAGTGGCCCTGGCGGGGATAACCGAGTATTTGTTCTCAGCGCGTTGTATCCCGCTGAAATATATATACTCGACGCATATATATAATATATATATAAATATCTGTGTCTCGGAAGTAAAAGAACTGGGTCCATCTTTTCGGCTCTCTCTTTCTCAAGGTACAGATGAGTATCGTAAGAGCGGGGATCGGAACCGACGGAGTTTGAACTCGATACCGTGAAAACGCGCGAAGAGTCCTAGCTATACATTCACGGCTGCGAAGAGCCTTAGCGACTCACCATTGCAGAGACGGCGATTGACGTAACGGCTTCTTCTACGTCCATATTTGCACGGTATCGAAATTCGTATTCGTCGGCGGCGCAGCTCAATTACAATCCTCGATCACAAGATAACATTCAACATAGTACTAAAAATAGAAATCTTTCTTTTAGAGCGCGCGGAAACGTTAAATTATATAATTATTTTTTCAAACCACGAGTCATACACAACATCAAATGTCAGCGCCTCGTTTCAATTATGCACGCAGACTGTCTCACGTGAGAAGCGTTGCCATAGGCTATTTTCTCGGATTAGAGACGGCGATGAACAATTTTTTTTTCCTGTTGCATTGAAGTTCGTCGACACGGTTTGAGGAAACAAAATTAAAGGAACTTCGCGCAATTTTCCCAAATTTCAACGACTGCCAACGACCTATATTGTTAAACAAATTTTATTGGCAGTTAATTAGAATATAGGTAAAAAGAAATAGTCTATTAAGAAGATTAACAGCAAAATAATATGAACAATCAAATAATAATCGAAAGAGTTACGCATAAAATAATAGGAACACCGTCAGTTTTATAAGAAAAAAAAAAAAAAAATTTCTTTCTTACTATTTCAGGTGCACCCTGTTTTCCTTACTTATTCAATATACTTTTTTGTAACAAAACTTCTTACAATACGTCTTAGGTAAAAGTGTTCCCTTCGTGATATAAATTCGCTTTATGGAAAAATGAGTATGTCTTACCATGTATCAAAACAAACGGAGAATTTACTATTACGCATGTGTGTGTGTGTGTGTGTGTGTGAAAATCATGTACGTAATAGCATACAGAGTTTGCACCGTGCTTGCGGTGAAAATGTAGTAAAAGAACGCAATTACTGTGATCTTACCGCATTACGTTCTTACTAATCGTCCCTGATGATAATGCAAATAAAGCGACAATGCACACGAAGGTAATAAATGCAACTGTGAACACATAACTATATATACTGTACATGTTTTTTCGCGTAAAATTTGCAAATGCACTTTGACCAGGGCGTCAATAAAACTCGCGTGATGCGAGAGCTAAACTCGTCGTACCCGATAATTCTCAACCGCGCGTTGATGCTTTTCTCTCTCTCTCTCGTTCTCTCTTTTGTTTCGTTAAAACGCGCAGTTAACAATTATTCTCCCTATCGTACGGCTGCTGGCATTTAATGTTGTCGATTCAAGCGTACGCATATAAAAAAGCGACGATATTCGATACTAGACTATAGAGCTCGGTCACTTATTAGCTATGAAGTATTTAAGTATATTGTTTGGTTTGGGTTTACTGGTGGTGGGCCAGGAACGCGTGACCTCTCTCCTCTCGATAGGCAGGGATTTGACCGTGGCGTCTACCGTGGGCGACCACTGCATGGGTGACGCGGAGCCCAACACAAGGTCGGCCATCTCGTTGCTCGGTGACTCTCGCCGACCGCTCAGCCACACCTCCAGCTTGGTCTTTTTCTGCAACGGCTCCACTTCGTTCTGCAGCTCATCCTCCGCGTTCTGGCTCGCCATGCACTGCAACTTCGAGATCGGCGAGCACGAGAGACTCGAAGGCCCGGAAGTGTTCATCGCGCTCATAGCCGACTGGGACTGATCCGAACCGTCGTTGCTATCTTGATTAATACTCATCGGCGAGCCTAGACTCACATCCGAGATACCTTCTTCGGAAGTGATGTCCAGGACGGACTGGACGGCAACTTGCTTGCGTAAGAAAGACGTGATGCTCTTACCGATGGACTGTTCCTCAAACTTGGTGAACGCCACTCCGAGCAACGTCAAATGGAACGGTTTGGAGACGTCGACCGCGCGATGAAACAGCTTCATGGCGAGTACCAGCATTTTGCTGTGATCGTACACGCCGTTCTTCGTGGACGGTAAGAGATGTCTTGGCAGCGGGCACTGCCTGCTCTCTCTCTTGCCGGAAGTAGGTTTGTTCAGGTCGTGCTTCCTCACGGTGACCTTCATGCCTACGGGGATCCTGCCGTCCTCCATCGCCATCTCCGTGAGTCTTCTCAGCAGCCCGCCTAATCGCGACTCCACCTCGGCTACCAACGACACGCTCTTGAATCCATCCTCCAGACCGATCGACTGCTTCTTTCCGGACGGCTTCACCGACGTATCGTCGATACCCTCAGCGTTATCCTTCAGCTTCCTCGCTAAATCGACGCCGATCTTCAGCTCCAGATTCTCCAGGGGTATTCTGCGCAAATCGTTCACCGTTCTGATGTTATTCGACAGCAGCAGTTCCGTGGTCTTCTGCCCAACCCCGGGTATCTTGGACACCGAGCCTACCGCGGAGAGCAACATCGGGCCGCCGCATGGGAAGACAAGCGTCTGCTGATTCGGCTTATTCAGAGATCCAACCAGCTTGGCTAACAGCTTGTTATGCGCTATCCCGACGCTGCATGTGAGATGCAGCTCTTGGAAAATACGGCTTCTGATCTCAGCTGCCAACCTAGAAGCGACCATCAGGCGCATGTGGCATCCACACGGACACTCCTCATCCGACGGGCCGAATATCTTGCTGATTGATTCTTTCAGCTCCTCGTCCGCGCTCGAGCTGCTCATGTCGAGTTCAGAGTCATTCTGTGGTTTGAGATGCTTCTCCACCACCAATGATACATCGAGAAAGTTATCATCAAAACCCAGTCTCTCCACCAGTGGTGTAAATTGATGTAAGATTTCTGATATTTTGCTGGAGTAATGACGATAGTTGGTCAGATCCTCTCCATTCACCAAAGCCAGCCCTGGACAGAGACGCAAAGCCTCCTGTACCGGCATACATTTCTTTATACCATATTCCCTGGCCAGATAATTGCTGGTGACCACTATGTTCTTTTGCTGCACACCCAGTGGTTTCTCTTTGAATTCCGGATGCCTGAGCATCTCCACTTGGGCGTAGAAGCAGTCAACATCGATGTGGATGATGGTTCTAGGGTGACGTATAATGGCATCAAAATCTGCGGTATCCATGAGTGCTTGTTGGACAATTGTGTTTCTCTAAATGAAACAAAACCCATACATAAGTTATCGCATACAATCCTTTCGGAGTCTCCTCGACTGTACCTGCAACACAAACGCGTGGGTCACAAATGCTCTCAGGCTTGACTTAGAGACTAAAGGTGTCGTTGATTTATTTAGCGACGCGACGCGAACGTGCGTTATTACCGTTGTTACATCCGCGACGTACGTTGACAGTTCGTGGCAGTACGATGACTCTCGCGGACGGTCTGCGAAGGCAGCGGGACGTCAAAGTAGTCCGCGAGAAACGTAGAATTTGAGCTATCGCGAGTTCGCGCGACTTTCACTCCCGACAGCTACTCGGACCTTTTCGCGGATACCTGGTCCAGCTTCAGCATCTCAGGAGGGCTCCAGCTGCTCGGCAATTCGCCCGGCCGCCAGCGCAAAACAAAACTGATCTGACAAACCAAACACAAACTTGTTTACAGCGTGCAAACCAACCAATCTATCTTCACATGGTAGCCATGTTTTTAAATTGTCTAGATACGCATGATGTATACGAGGCCTCCCGAAACTTGCACGAACCTGTCGAGATTGGCGGACACGCATGAAGTAACGCCACGAGATAACGCGTGACTCACACGCCAACCAATCAACCCTCCATTTTCCCGCTAATGAGAAGCTCGTAACGGCCGGTGATTGGCTCTTGCATCATTACGTTGCGTACGAAAATTTTCTGGGAAAAGACCTGTCGCGATTAATCATGTAACAAAATTTGCCTCCTAACAACAAAAATGTTTTTATACACATGTTTTTACGAAGCATCAAAGTGCTCGTAATGCCTGCATAATGGATGTGTTCCTTAATACGCACAGTGCACATTTACCTATAGTTTATGTGACGTATACTGTAGAAAAAGAGCACACGCTATTACAACGCAGGCAGTATCAGTTCTGTTCTTTTTAACTGAACTAGTGCTGCACTTTCTAAACTATCCAAAATATGTTCGTTTCCAAAAAGTTTTAGCATCATTTTTTCAATCGCTCACTTCGCTTATGGGTCTTGCAAACTGAACGCAACGAACGATAAGCGATATCCAATGAGAACTCTCATTTCTATTTAAAGTAAAACTCTCATTGAATATCGCGTCTAGTGTGCGAGATCTAATACTTGATTCATCTTAAGGTCATTTTATATTAATCATATAATCGTAAGTTCCAAGAAATTTAGTAATTGCTATTTCTTGTTTTCATTGTGAACGAAATAATATAATGCTATTGGCTAATTTTTTGCGATTTGCGATTGTGCGACTAAAGGTCGTTCTACATAAGTCCCGATGTACAATAGGTGATTTAAGCCCTAAGCTTTAAGAAATTAACCAATAACAGTTAAATTTGAGGAGAATAATTGACTGTGATTGATCAATTTCTTAAGACTTAAAGCTTACTACACCTATTGTAGATCAGGACTAATGCAGGATTCACACCGCGTCCAATGTCCGATGTATGACGTCCGATATCCAATAGGAGAACAGTTTTCTAATATAGAATTCAATTCTCCATTGGAAAGCTATTCTCTTATTGGATATCGACGTCGTACATCAGATATCGAATGCGATGTGAGTTCTGTATAAAGATCGTTCTACGATCTTTATACAGATCTTAGTTGCAAGCCGATCGCACGCAGACGCTATTCTTATTGCGATAGCCAATTAGAAGCATCGATGGTGCTATTGATTGATGCTTCTGATTGGCTGTCGCAACAAAAGTGAAGGCCTTTGCACGTAAAAACATTTTAACCGTAACCGTAAGGTCGTAAGAAAACTGACCAATCAGAGTTGATTATTCTCCTTGCATTCAAAGAATAATCGACTGTGATTGGTCAGTTCTCTTATGACCTTACGGTTACGGTTAAAACTTTTCTACTTGCAAAGGCCTTTAAAATCAACTCGCAACTAAAGGTAGTTCTATATTAGTTGCAAGCCAATCGGAATTCAGCCTTGAAAATATGATGAAAGCTAAGTAGGTATCTGCTTGTTTAGCAAAATATAAAAGAAGAAGCGCTCACTATCGTTGAGATATTTTAACAATTTATATTTATTATAAATCAGAAGCAATAATTTCTGATAAGCTCATCAATGTCCATATCAGACTATAGATTAGAGGCTGAGCGTGCAAACCCATTCAGCGGAATAGCGGAGCCGGAACGAGAGCGGAATCAATTATGAGCAGAAGCAATTACGAGCGAAAAATATGGAATGCTCGTGATTGGTTCCACTCTTGTTCCGTGCTCCGCTATTTCGTTGCATGGGTTCGTATCCTGAGAATTGCGGGTTGAAGATTGAAACTTGACCAATTAGAATAAAACAGATCAAGATCAAAATTTGTTGATTTGCAAAATCTGATCTTTAGTCCACAAAGCAATCAATGAATAAGGCCAAGTTCCACAACATCCGTTTAATTTTAACTATCGGTTAAGCCTATAGTAATAATATAGTGATTGGTTAATTCTGATTAACTCTTTTTAATATCAAATGCGATTGATCAAGTTCAATAAAATAACTAGCCAATTAAATTAACTGAAGGTTATGTAACTGGGCCTAAAACACACTTTTAGCGTGTTCGACTGGTCCTGGGTTAATTGCTCCGAGAGCGATTAATGACGTCATAAGTCTCTACTAGCCAATCATAAAGATATTATAAATACTTGTTCGACCAATAAACGTAGGCTGATTAACCCAGAGCCAGTCGAATATGCTATTTGATTCTTACGCTCTATGCACAATGCCAGGCAACAGGCAATAGGAATAGGCATTAGCTAATAGGAACAGGGAATAGAAATAATTGACCAATCCGAATTCCTATTCCTTGTTCCTATTGCCTGTTGCCTGGCATTGTGCATAGAGCGTTAGGCTGAGTTCCCACTGAGCGCGTCACGCGTCGTGTCGTCTGCCTGCGTCACGAGTTAACTAATCAAATCCTCTAATTGGGATGACGTGCATCGTGCGACGCATGATGCACTTGTTTTAATGGAACGATTTGATTGGTTAACTCGTGACGCAGCAGACGACGCGACGCGTGACGCGCTCAGTGGGAATGCACCCTTAGTCCCGATCTACAATAGGTGATTTAAACCCTAAACTTTAAGAAATTGACTAATCATAATCAAATTTGAGGAGAATAGTCGACTGTGATCGGTCAATTTCTTAAGGCTTGAAGCTTATTACATCTATGTAGTGATATATATCAGGGAGGATCCCGATTGCCGACAGTACGATTGACCACAAATTGTAATGATTGGTTCGATCTGGTAATTCACTAGATAATTCTTATCATCGATTGGTTTGTGTGCAATCGTACTGTAGGCAATCGGAATCGCTCACTATATATCACGACCAATCACGATTCTATTTTGTTTATGATTACAGATATGGATATGTTTACGGACCATTGGATTCACACGTTTATTCACTGTTTGCTTTGCGGATTGAAGATCAAATTTTGCGAATCAACAAATTTTGATCTTGGTTTGCTTTATTCTAATTGGTCAAGTTTCAATCTTCAATCCGCAATTCTCAGGCCCATATTCTGAATCCTTTTTTTATCGATAAAAGTGTCTTAAATGTAGCTTCTCAGCCAATCAGATGGCTTCTAAGCCTCTTTTAGAGGCACTTTTATAGATAAAAGAGGATTCAGAATATGAGCTTCTGTCTCTAATCTATAGTCTGATACGGACATTGATAAGCTTATCAGCGATTATTGCTTCTGATTTATGATAAATATAAATTGTTAAAATATCTCAATGATAGTGAGCGCTCCTTTCATATTTTGCTGAACAAACAGATATCTGTGATAGAACTATGTAAAAAATAGACAAATGGAAAAAAATTTCCTGTTCATACACAATCACGTACAACGGTTTGTCGTGCAACGATTCGTCGAGTTGTCACACGTGATTGTATAGACAGGAAACTTCTCTTTATTTCTTTGCTATTATTTTAACATAGTCCCACTACTGCTTAGCTTTAATCGTATTTTCAAGGCTGAATTCCGATACTCATCGCCAATACTAAAAATCTATAGTACACGCGAATTATACAGTTCAGTATTGGCAATGAACATCGGAACATAGCCCAACTTGCTGACCGACATATATTCACGCAGAAGAGTGGGTCCTCGTTACTGCGAGATAATTTTAAATACTGATCCGATGGATTTTTCGCTATTTTCCTAGTTGTGAGTCCGAATAATACAGAAGTGTCCTAAGCAGTCAATTAACCAGACAATAATGTATCAAGATCGTAGAGGGAAAAAGAGGAAGTTTCATAACCTCAAAGAGTAAGTGACGGTTAAAATTCAGGAATATCGTTTCTCATCTGAATTGTAAGTTTTCTGACGAGTTGCCTGACACAGGTCGGTTTGATCTCCGAAACTGCAGTTTCATGAATGCGTTGTTCAGCGCACTCGTGTTTGGTCTGAAGGAAAATAAGCCGCTGTCGCTGTCGTTTTGGTCGCGTTTGAAACTTAACCTAACCTAATTTGTGGAAAGACGATCGGCGGCAGGTTGGCGGGAGGTTGATCGCGCCACGGATGATCGCGAGAATTGGCGCGCATGGTCCGCGCGAGTAAAACGTCGTGTCGTCCACCGACCCGGTATCACTCCGGAACGTCGCACGCGGCGAGTCGGCACTCTCTCGCCGCGTTGTACAAGTCTGCGGGGCGCCATCTTGGAAAATTTCGCATTTCGAATAACAAAGTCAAATGTCGATAGTCGCAAAGTGCCGCGCGCGCGTGCCGATTTTTACAAACGTCGTGTTATTCGTATAGAGATAATCATCGCGTAGAGTGACCGTCCAGCGAGGAACGCACGGTGCTTCTTCGCGTTCTATGTAATTTTCTCGTGACAAACAAAACAAAGGTAACATTGCACGAGATTCGAACGAGAGCAGCGTGACACATACACACGTGCATATGTGTGTGCATGCACATAGGCGCTCATCTATGTACATATAAATACATAGTAGAAAGAAACGAAGTGAGACGAGGATAGTATAAGGGAACCGACCGGCACGACGTGCGAGAGAGAGAAAGAGGGGAGAGAGGGTCGGCGAAGGTGTAACGACACGACGCGACGTCCGCGCGTATTTTCAAGTCGCAAGTTTCGAAATAACGTCGGCAAAACGGCAGCGGGAAAAAAGTCATCGAAGAAGATGGCGGAGAACGAGGAACTGGAGGTGAGTTGGTGCGCGTGATACAAAGTACGTGCGGCGAGCACACGGGAGAGCAGCGTCGCTCCGCGCCGCGCGGAGGTTCCTCGTTCGACGGATTCGCGTCGCGTCGCGTCGTCTCGTCCGGCGTCGCGCCGATTTCCGGGTTTATCGGCGGGCGGTCCGAGTGTCGGTGGAGCCGTGTCGCGCCCGCGTTCCGTTCCGTCTGGTTTGATCTCGGCTCGTCGACGTGTCGCATACCGCGCTGCTACATCGTACCGTCCTGTGCGACCCCCGCCGTGTATAGTGGCTTCCCGTGTGACATTCTCTCGCGACGCGTGCGGGCTTGATCGTATCTCCCGTTGACGTGCGCTTTTTGTGCTGCACCATCGCGTTACGATATCCCTCACGTCTACGCAACACCAGAGCCACGAACATTCCGAGCACGGTTGGATCACGCAAAGCCGCAGCGAACGGACACTGATCACTCGACGAAGGACGGTCCCACTGTCCTGAGAATGCGAACGACGGCCTGTGCTTGCGGCAGCGTGATCTGCTCGTACGCGAAGATCTGCGGGTAACCTCACATCTCTCACTGAGCTTCACACTCCGATGATTTCCCCTCGCTGTTGCGCCCACCGATCGGCTAAACATCGAATAGATTGTCACTTTTTCGAGTTCATTTCCTAGTCGCACGGCCAGCACACATTCGGTGATTATCGTCGTGAGCAAAAAATTATGTGTGCTGCCACGTTATGACATCTCCAACGTGATTTGATTCGTTTTGGGGCTCGTGCTTCCAAATAAGGAACCAAATTTCATGTGTCTCTGTGGGCCACCTTCCTTATAGGGATTATCTCAAATGTAAAAGTATAGATTATTGTCAGGAGGCTTAGCCAGAAGCAGCACTGACTAAGCTCTGATACGTTGTATTCTCCTCATGGTGTTGCACATAATATAGTCGTCGTAATTCTTGGATAAGATGATAACATTGATTATATTGGAATACATTGACAGGAAACGGTTTCTGATTACAGAATATGATATTGAGTTTTCGAGTGTCTGAGCTTCAGATGCTTCTTGGTTTTGCTGGTAGAAATAAGTCTGGTAGAAAGAACGAGCTACAAGCACGTGCACTGGAGCTGTTGCATTTGAGATCACATCCAGCTATACGACTAAAAATACGTGAACTTTATAAGACAATACAGTAAGTGATGTGAAGCAGCTGGGCAAGTTGTTATTCTTAGGTAGTTTTTCCAGTTATTCCAACTGGCACATTGGTATTCGAGTAGATATTCTTCTGTTTGTATTTTGTACAGTTTTTATATATTGATATTCGATACCTGTACATATCCAGGTTCATCATATCTTATAAAAATAAACAAAGCTACATTATTAAGTATGATTTGTGTTTCTGTGTATCTAGGTTCATCAAGTTTTTCTATAGGAATAAAAAGACTTGCATCATCAGATGTGGTGTTTAGTTGAACGCAGTTTCAGAATCCAACCAGCCTAAATTTTTATTTGTGTGACTCAAATTGTTTATTTATAAATTGCAGCAATAAATAACCATAATTCTTTTGTACATATTTGAAAACAAGAAATTTTTCTTGATCTTAAATATGACTTATGTAATTTATGATTTAACACAATAAGCTGCTTCCTTCCTCTACTGCAATATTGGTACACTTACAGCATATGTTCCTGCTTTTTGTTCCTTTGAAAGCTATAATTTTTCTTGTTGCTTCAACTGCAACACGATTTGGAAGTTCTTATTTTCTTATAGACAAGATCAAATGGCAGCGCATCAAATGTATGGTCAGACTGGTAGTTCTACTGAGCAGCAAATAGATCAAACAATGCACAACAGAAATTATTACTCCACAAGGTATTTATATTATCATCGATTTATGCATCAATCATATGTTAAAATCAACCGATATATAAAATGGAGATATACTTGTATATGTAAAGGCAAGCAATGAGTCAACAACAGCAATCTCAGGCATCTGTTTCTGCTGGCAAAGAACTGACTCCGGCTCATCAAGCTTCTATACCTCAGGCACCTAGGACCAATCCAGTATATGCAACTGGTTATACTAATGTAACAGCACAAGTATGCAGAAACATATTTTTCAGATTCATTTATATTATCAGCTTTATTCATCGACCGTCGATCACGTATTGATAATTCTCGTTTTTTTTAATTTTCAGCGTGCACCTAGTACAGGATATGCATATACACCATATCAGCCCAAAGTTTTACCATCGCCCTTACAAATGCAACCTGCTACTCAATATCCAGTTCATCCAGACGTCAGATTGAAGAAACTTCCATTTTTCGATTTATTAGGGGAATTGTTGAAGCCTTCTAGTTTAATGCCGCAGGGGACTCCGAGGCTGCAAGAGAATACTTTTATGTTTCACTTGACCCCACAACAAGCGACAGATATTGCCAGCTCGCGCGACTGTAGAGCCGGTAGCAAAATGGATTACATTGTACAGGTATGTTCTATTTTTTCTCGCAAGAATTAAAGCACAAGCGCATGAAAGATTATAGTGAAAGAACGGACGTGCATATCGATCGTTGTGTTTCTGGGAATCTGAACATGTTGCTTACTTTCACTAGGTACAAATGCGATTCTGTTTGCAAGAAACGTCGTGTGAGCAAGAGGACTATTTCCCTCCAAATATTACAGTAAAGGTCAATGGAAAATTATGTCCTTTACCTGTAAGTACAGTCAGACTTCTAAGACACTTCTTACGAATTCTACAGTTGATTTACATTTATATTTTTTCCAGAATCCTATACCTACTAATAAACCAGGTGTAGAACCGAAGAGACCACCGCGACCTGTAAATATCAGTCCTTTAGTGAAGCTGTCTCCTACTGTCGGCAACGAAATACGTGTCTCATGGTCGGCTGATTATGGCAGGCGATTTGCAGTGGCAATATACCTCGTCCGAAAGTTATCCAGCGCGGAATTACTTAGTAGATTAAAAAATAGGGGTGCCAGGCATTCCGATTATACTAGGGGTTTAAGTAAGTATTTATCTTGTGACGATAACTTGCATTGAAGCCACGCGCAGAGAATGATTCTTACAATAATTTGCAGTTAAGGAAAAACTGAATGAGGATGCGGATAGCGAAATCGCTACCACGTCACTGAGAGTATCGTTAGCTTGTCCTTTGGGAAAGATGAGGATGTGCACACCATGTCGCGCATCGACGTGCTCTCATCTTCAATGTTTCGACGCTTCATTGTTCCTTCAAATGAATGAGCGTAAGCCCACTTGGAACTGTCCAGTATGCGATAAGCCAGCGCTATACGACAATCTCGTGATTGATGGATATTTCCAAGAAGTCCTAAATTCGAATAAGTTATTGCCAGACGTGAACGAGATTCAATTGCTGCAGGACGGCTCGTGGGAGAATTTAGTGCTGAAGAAGGAAAAGGATAAAGATAAAGAGAAAAACGAAGCGAAAGCCGCGGCCGATTCGCGGGACGATAAGATTGATGTAGATACAGTGGATTTAGGTAAGAAGAAACATGTATTATAAAGCTCTTCTAGAATACTCTGAATGATAGATTTTTTTTAAACTTGTCTAGATTCAATTTGTAATACCTTAGCGAGCTTTAACGATTAAATTGTTATCTCACGTGAGAGAGAATATGTAAATGCTGTTGCTAACGAAATATTCTGTTTGTCTTTGTTAGATGAAGCTAATCCCACTACACCTGCACCAAAGGAGAAGAAACGCGCAGTCGTGATCGACTTGATATCGGATAGCGAAGATGACGACGAGGATACCACACCGACTCAAAGTACAAAGAAACAAACCACTAGTAACATTTCCTCGCCAAAGAAATCGCAGACCAGTTCCATCAGTAGTACAAGCGAATCGCCCGAATTGATGATCATTGATTTAGAATAAAGGATTGTGTGATATACCAATCATGATACGAACTTTTTACCGAAATTCATCACTTTGTGAACACAGAGTGACGATGCTTCCGTTTCTCCTGTTGAAACTTAGAAGCGCAAACTTACCATTTGGCATGAGAACGCGCCAATATCGATTGATCTTCGTAGTTCCCTCTCGAGGAAATCAGATATGAGTAAGAAGACTTCCGTTTCTTTTATAACTCTCTTTACTCACTGCATTGCATTCCGAGATTATAAATACAGCTCATGCTTCATCGACTTCACTTGGTGAACTGAATTTAGTGCTAAAAAATCAAGATCCGATCTGACTGAGATAAGCAAGTATTTTAATACAATTTTCACTATTTTAAGAGAGATTGGTCCATATGTAACGTAAATGAAAATAAAGTTACCTCCATCTTTTGTAGCATAAGCCTTTTATTAACCTTGACATAAGATCTTGCATATGCAATCTGTTTCGTGCTTTGCTCGTACGCACACCTCTTTCTCAGTGTGATATCATTGTGCTGTCATCGTCATTAATTAAATTCATCGTGTGAGAAGTGTGTTTAACTTGATCAGGGTTAATAAATCGCTTAAACTATAGCCTAATCTGTAATTCTCGTATATAATATCTAGTATTTCGTTTCGGAAGATCTTCTTAAGTGGAAAAACGAATACATGTAAATATCGGTTGGTAGATCCAGTAAGTTCTTCCTGCGTGTTTCAATAGACAATGGCAATATTAATCTTTATGTTAATTCAGAAAACACGTCGGATTATCTGACAATAAGGAGTATCCATTTGCGTTCAGAACGAAAGTGAAGTAATTGACAAGAGGATTCGCAGTATATAATTGTAGGAATAGAGGTATTCGAAGGAATCTATAGAGATCAATTTGCTTCACTCTTGTTCCAAACGATACATATCATCGTGACGAGCGCGTTTATTCAATAAGACAGTGTCGGTGTACTTGTTCTTCGTTGTGATGAATAATTCGATATCTCTCTTCTCCCGGAAGTTATGTTCGTTAAAAAATATGGATAAATTTTCTGGTGGAGACGAGCGGGGCGAAGGTGCCAAACGTAGTAGTTTCAGCGATGACGCGTACGATGTAACGTGCCCGTTTACTTCTCTCCCACGTACAGTCTGCGAGACAACTTGATCTGTGCCTTAGTAGACTTATTCTTCCTGGAAGGAAGTCCCGTTACCTGGCGGGTACATGTAATTGCGCAATGATATACCGGAGAGTCGTTGGTCCACGGGTTCCCGCTTGTCGTATAGACTGGGCGCCTGACAAATTATGCCCAGTGTGCCGCCGAAACACGCGAACGTAAACACCCAAAGAAAGAATCTGTCCAAGACCATAGACACGAATTTCCAATCCTCTATGACCTGTAAGAATGAACGAAGCGCTTTGAATGTGATAAGTAAGAAGATTTTTGATATTTTTCAGTAATCTATCCTATCGACATATTATAGATGTACATATTATCGACATATTATAGTCATTACACCTTAAAAAGATATACAGAATATCGGTCCCTCTTCGATTTCGATAAGTTTGGTATATACATGAGACAGTTAGAAACTGTGAAAGTTATTGTACGGGATGTTTCAGAGTTGACTTGGAGGCCGCAATTGGAAGGAGTTCCTATTCATATTTTTTTGTATATCATGCGTCGAAGAGTACTTTTAAATTTTCTTCGCGATATAGCTACGTCTCTTTCAATAATTGACAATCGAAGATAGTGGATTGACTAAACGTTAGAAATTATTTTTTGTATTGTTATCCAACTTATTGTAAATTAATTAGAATATCAACATTTTTATTTTTTATAACGATTTTTATATTAGAGGGACTTTTTTGATATGTCTAGTCATGGGCGATGTATATGTATATATACATATATTCTCTTCTCGGTCTAAAATCAGCTGGATATAAAAAACGTTGAATTAGAGAACAAGTTTGGCAACGACTACATATAAGAACAGTGTCGAAATGGATCGTTAATAGAATATTATTTACCTCATTATCTTTGTCCGCGTCTTTTATATGCTGAGCAATAAAACGTACTCCCTTGAGAGCTAATATAACATCCGGGGATAAGTGTTTCGGCATTGTGTTCTCGCTGTCAGTAACTGAAATCATATTTTGTCATTAGATGGTTTATAAGACTTAAGGGACGTCTACATTGGAAGTAAATAGCAAGAAGTAGGAAGTAAGAGTAAGAAATTGACCAACCACAGTCGAATGTGAGAAGAATAATCAACTATGATTGGTCAATTCCTTATTCTTACTTCCTACTTCTTACTGCTTACTTCCAATGTAGACGTCCCTTTAGATTTTATATTTTAAGTTTAGATGTCGTTATTGCATTCTTCACTGGTGCGGAGTATGGTTTATTAGAGGCATGGTAATAATAGAGGCATAATAAGAAAGGACAGAAGCGATTATACTACTATTGTTTACATGATTGTTTACATGAGTACGATACAATATAAGGTGTGACTATACAACAAATATTCTAGTAAATTTATTCCATAAAGTCTGTATTCGATGTTAAATAAACACATTTTTAAAAATTTGTCTTTAACTCTGAAACAAACTAATAGGGAATATCGATGATATTTCGCCAATTTGTTACAAATCCATTTGAATTTCTGCAAGATATTTTATAATATTTTTGAATATAATTAATCCTATATAAATTTTATCTTTACCGATCAAGTCTATTACGTTTGATGTGTCATGTTATACTATTTAGAAATAGAAGTTCTTTTCAATGAAATCGTATTATTTGAAAAGTAAAAACTTATTTGAATCGTAGAAAATTAGATTACTTGAAAAATAAAAATGCGAAAATTGCCATTCGCAATAAATATTTCGAAACTGTATTTTGCTGTATTTTGTAATAGGTCTTTTTTTTAGCTAAACTGCCTCAACTAGTGCAATAAGTTTGAGTGAAACAAAATGTATTTGTATTACTCTAATTTATTGCACCAATTCATATAATTCAGCTAAAAAGAACAGACCTAATGATAATTTATCCTTCAAAAAGGCTAAATTGAATGTATGGCGTCATCTAACAATGTCGCCAATGTCTAACAATGTTAAAGAAGATCATTGCGCTAAACTAGTTTAAGTTTCGGATAAGTAAGGTTTGAGTCTCGGCTAAATAAAGTGGAGTTTTCGCTATGTACGCAATTATAGTTCTAAAAACTCCGTTACGAGCCGCCACCGTCTCTGACGAGGAATTGAGGTCGTTGTGCGACTTAACAATGGCTTGGAGAAATTTTTATTTTCACATAATACGATTCAATGACAGCCCAAGTGATTTCTTTATTTTTAAATACTGTAATTTGATAATGGGTCGATGATCTTTTTCCAAAAAGCGCGGAAACGGAATATCTCAAAAGCATTTTTACTTTCAAATGGTACGACTCAATGACTGATCAAAAGAACTTTTTATTTTTTACAACCGAATAGCTGATCTAATAAACTTCGTTCTCATTTATTTGTGAGAAATAAAGTCTCTCCTGACTCAACGGATTAATTTATACGGCTGGAAAACGAATTTAAGTGGAACAGGTTCTAAAGCAATTCAACCGAAGCAGAAATTACATGTCTAATAAAATTCAGCACAATAAAATTTTATAACATTGAATTAAAAAATTACCGCCATAAAGATTAATCGGATTTAAAAACGAGAAGTAGATAAATTATCATTTAACAAAAGGAAATGTATTAAACGGAAATATATTAAACAAAATTCATTGATCCGCAATCATTGCTCGATTGGTCAGTGTTTAAAAATAAAAAAGACATCAAGCATTTCTCGACACGTAACAGAAAGATGTTACCTGACGCGTGTGGTATGTGCCGTGCATCGTCGTCCCTAATTTTGTACACCGAGGTGACGGTGTCGAATCTGTTTGGGCTTCCTTTAATTTCCAGCGGATAGTCGCTCACGCTGTCATCAGAATTGCAAAAAAATAGACAGTAGAATAATTGATTTTAATTTAGAAAGAGAGAGAAAGAGACATGAGATACTCGAATAATCGAGCGTTTGCGTAGAATTACTTTTTCTTTCTCTTTCTTTCTACTGTTTCCTCTTCGTTATTACGAATTTCATATACTCAGTATCTCTTGCAACGCTCAATTAAACTGGTATCGATAACTCTGACTTAAGGTCGAATACATCAATGTTATATGACTTTTTTGGCGACTCTCTAATTTTAATCAGCGAAATTACCTGAAATCTATTTCATTGGTATATCCGTTATCCACGTAAGTGTCGTCGTATTCGGGCGTAGAGTACGGTGTGCGACGCATCAGCAACACCCTCGGCATCCAATTTAGAAACACTTGTCTCACCCACGGCGACATGTTATGCGTGGAAGGCGATCTACGACACAGACGACCCGAAACTTTCGTTTAATCGCATACTCTACTCATTTATTCTTTCGCTTATTATTCCCCAATTTCCTCCACTTAAGATACTCGCGAGATAATGTAAGGTGCAAAAGATTTATTGTGTTTTTCAGATACATTAGAAGACGAAATTATCCGATTTCGGAGGATTAGTAATAGCAGTTTTTGCGATATAAATTACACGTGAACATTCTCGAATGTTAATTAAAAATGTAAAGCACGGCGCTAATTGCTCTCTCTTCCCACCACTCACCGGAAATGCACATTTAAGACGCAGACGGTGATCCAAATGGACAAGGTGACTAAAATCATTGTGAACAATAAGTATTTCCCGAGCAAAGGTATGGCGAGCGATGTCGGCGGAATGATTTCGGCTAACAGCAGGAAGAACACCGTCAGTGAGAGAAGAATGGAGGAACACAGTGACACCTGCGCGAGAAATACGATCAAGTAACAAATGTACGAGCTGCTGAGCGTCAATATTACGTGAGCGTAAACAAGTTTCTCGTGAATACAAAACGTAGCTTTATGCGCGGAGCTTTGGACGACTTGTCGCCCTACTCACCTTTTCACCGGAGTCGCTAGGCAGGTAAAAAACTAGCACCGTCATAAACGTGATGCCGACGCATGGAATAATCAGATTGACGGTATAAAATAGAGTTTTCCTCCTCATCGTGATGTTGAATGTAATATCTGCAATAATATGTACTAATTACTAAACAATAATGTCTTTCTCGTTATTAGATATGAAAAAAAGTCGGGATTATAGAAAAAATGTTGTTTCCTAACGAGATTTCGTTTTTGAGAAGACTGATCTCAGAGATTAAAATATTATGGATATCATTCCGTTTTGTGAGGCCTGCATGACTTTCTCAACGGTCTTTGTGGTACGAATGCGTCTTTGCGTGCCTGAATAAGGTTCTTCGCAACACGGGTAATATTCCTCGTTGCGCGCTGCTGGTACTTCCAGAATATCCCATTCCACTGACAGATAGAAATCGGTGAGATCTATACCGATCGAGACGACATTGCTACCAGGCACTTGCTTCATATGCTTCAGGTCCACCTATTAACGAGCAATTTTACAAAGCACACTCTCGAAGGACACCATAATGTAGCTATAAAAGATCGTGAATCGTGCGATTAAAATATTCTGTCAATAAATTCCCTAAACGAAAAGTTCAAACCCGACGAAGTCTCTCGGAGTTAGCCGAGAAACATAATCCTTAACAAAGCTCTGCTCGTTTAATGTCAATTACTTAGAAAATTGTCGACCTTTTTGTGGTGAAAATATTAATTTAAAACTCACGGCAAGATCGTAGATCAAAGTCTCAAGATGTTCTATCTCAACTATGCGAATTATTGTTACCTGAGCACCGTTGTACGTCCACGAGCCGAATTTCATGATGCACGACTGCTCATCGAACGGAAAATATTCCACGTTGATCTCGCAGGACGATTTGTAAATGGCCGGTGGTTTCCAGAATACCTCGCCGGTATACTTCAGCGTGGCTTTCGTCATCAGCGTCACTTCGTAATTCCCATCCGCGCTGTAGAAGACGCAAAAATGTCAGTCAACAAATCATCGTGCAATAAACGCTCGTAATTTTCTAATTCATCGGGCAAAAATGCTTGGCCCGCAACGAGAATTATGAGAGCGAGCGTTTGCTCCATTCGGAAAATTCGCACAGTTTATTGTTGTCAGCTCAGCCGGAGTCCTTCGCGACTTACTTGTTGTACAGCACGATGTCTGGAAGCCATATATTTTCGGAAGGCACGTATAACATCTCCACACCGCCGTATTCCTGCGGATCCCACTGCAATTTGTAGTCAAACCATTTCTGCGAGCAACGGAAAGAGCAAAAGACATGTTAATTGCGATCACACAGTCCGCCCATTATCGTTATCGGTTACGGTTAGCCAGCGTGTAAATGAAACGTGTCAATGCACAAAGTGGACATATAGAGACGGTAGACATTTTACCTGCTCCACCCAGACATTCGTTGTCATCACTTGGTTCTTTAAATTCTGCAAAGCCAAACTCGATCGTTAATTCTACGGAATCCTTAAGCATTGTGAGAGCTGTTCGCACGAACAGGAGGAAAAATTACGGGGAAAGTAACGTCGGAGTTGCTTGAGAGTACTTATTTAACGGAGTGGTTGGTATTTACGTGTGTCGGGTCAGTACCATTTCTATCAATTGCGACAACTTCAACATCAGCCAGACGGTCAGAGTCTCCGTATTATTAATAACAGGACGTATCAGTCTATTATAGTTGGACAGTAAATCATCGTAGAGCCTCTTCGTATCGGGATTGGCTTCGTAAACCTTGAGCCCTGCACGAAACGATTGCTTCACTCGTCTCTCTTGGTAAAAAAAGTCATCCAAAAGAGTAAAAAAGAAAAATAGAAAAGAAAAAACAAATCATATTCTAACTGTATGACAAAAAATAAAATTCCCCGGAGGAAAAAAATGGAATCCTATCTGAATAGGGACTATCGTTTGACCTCGTATAAAATAAGGGACGCACGATCAATGAAAATTTCGCGCGATTTGATCGCGCTCGTAATTAGCGATTAACAGGACACGACTGTAACTAAATATTGCAATAACTTGACGCGTTCTTCCCCTGACGGGATGATCACTTTATCCGCTAAAAAGCTGCGCTTACCGTGAATGATGCCGAGGACATTGAGCAAGACAGTGAACACCGCTATCCGCATTCTCGTCACTGTTTACAAACGCGTCGCGGGGGCGAAGCACTTGGGGCGTGCTTCTCTCTTTCTCAGCTTCGGAGGATCGGCTTCAGCCCTCAGTTTCGTCGTGTGATGCGAATGCGATGGTACTCCGGCGGTGATCTTACAATAAGGAGCGTAAAAAAGGAACGGGCGGCGATAACAAAACGTTTTCAGCGTGCTGAACGGTGCGGCGTGCGATCGGCGAAGCGTCGGGTGGTCAGCATCCCACTGGTCCAGGATCGATATCTCGCCGCCATGAAGGCCGCCCTGTGTCGGGGCGCGACGTGTTCCTCAGCCTCTTGCGCCGGTCCGCAGCTGCGCGGCTACGAGAGCGATGCACAACGGAAAACTCTACACAACGCGATCCCAAAACACACCCATTCTCGTCGTGACGAGAGCAGACCCTCGCGCAATTACGAACGTTTAATTCGCGAAACCACCTCGGCAGTTCTCTCGGTCGGTCCCGGTCGGCTGAGTCGCCCTGAAAACCAGCGAACGCGCGAAATGAGATCACGATTAGATGCGCCAATGATTCACAGTAACGATCGGATAATCACTCGTCGGTAAGAATCGAGTCACGAAGCGTGAGCCTGACAACGAGGGCTGCATCTTGCAGTCACCGAGGTCTCCAGCATGGCTTCACCGCGTCTACGAGAAAAAAATGTTATTGAATGCGAGCACTTCTGGAATCATTAGAGGCAATATTTATAATGGGAACAAATAAATAGGAACAATAATATAATATAATGGTAAAATGGGAACAATAATAAATAGACTGTATCTCTTTGAGATATAGTTAAAGGAATTAGGAACAGACAAATAAGAGGCAAGACGACATTCTTGTTGCGCGGTTTCTTGTTTGCCAAATCTTCCTTAGATTTGGTCAAACCGTAGACGGTTTTACAGAATGAGATCGAGTGCTTTTGAAGTCTGGGTCTTTGGGAGAAAGAACAGCATCTTGGCTCCCTTTGCCCGTTTCTAATTCCTTTAATTATAACGAACCTCAGTCGAATCGTGACTGATTGTTTTGATCTTCTCGTCGCGAGAGAAGAGTGTTTTATATTTCTATAATTGCATGACGAGATAATTGTAGTCAGAGAAACGATTTTTGTAGCGAAAGTCGCTATAGCGGCTATTATTCTTCTGGAAAACTTCGGTACGAGTCGGTACCGATATATCAAAGCGAAGATCCTCCATTGTTAGGATCGCTTATTCGTGGTGAAATTTTCGTTTCAAGGATCGGCGGCTTGATCATTAACGAGTTGATACGGTAACAATATAGCGTGTGCGAGCGCACGAAATATCGCACGCCGAAGAGCACGTATTCTCTGGCCTGCTCTAACATGCTCCGGTGAACTCTGACTGTACTCTATTATCCTCTGGCATCGTCCGACGTATTCTGGCAAATTACGGCGTACTACGGTAAACTCTGGCGTACTGGAACGTATTTTCTCTAGCGCAGCCTGGCATCCTCGAATGAGCCTTAGTCGCACTTTACATGCCATACTCCGCGGTTCTCTAACGCACGCTTTAGATCATATTTCATCTTTTAGCGCTATCCTTAAATCATATCTTATTATTCTCTCTCTTTCTCTCTCTCCCCTCCCTCTCTCTCTCTGCAGCCATGTCATATAGCAGCGTATTTTTGATGTACTTTAATATATCCTGTTGTTTTGCCGGCGAATTTTGTCGCGCCACAGCTTACATCGCAAGTACTCGCCGCGGCAGCATTGCGTATTCTAACGTATTTTAGCATATACTCTTGTTAATGACGTCGCATTTCACTGTGCTTAGCGTTGCATTGATTTATCCGACTTATTCTTATCGCGCCCTCTTTCAACGGACTTTACGAGAGAAAGTGAAGGAAATCTTAAAAAAAAAAAAATATTCCGCGGTATTACTGCGACAGAAAAGTTCAGTTTGTTATCTTAATAGTAATAATAATAACGTCCCATTTATGAGACGCTTCTTTCTTGCTGAATGAAATCACTTGATACATTAATAATTTTACTTTTATAATTTTAGTACAATCACTAGTAATTTACAAGTAATTTATTAATAAAAATAGCTCGGATATTAATCTGAGGCTTTTTTAAGAAATAGAAAAATTGATCCTTTAATTAAAAATGTTTATGAGATAATTAATGCCTTTACTGGGATATAATCAGAGCACAAGATGAGAATATTTTTACCCTTCGTGTAAATAATCATCAGCCGTGTGTCTTTGAAGAGTCCGTTTGTAACGAAGAAAACTCGTCATTACTGATTTCTTCAATCGCACTTTATATAGATATATTGAAGCGTTGGATGCCAGTCGTCGGTGAGTGACGCTATGATACTTACGCGTCTCATTAAGTTACGTATACACGAAATACATAATTAAATACACTTGAGAAATGCCAACAGAGAGCGAATAAGGCGAGATAAAGGATACACGCGTCTCGAGCTACATTTACTCACCGTATTTTCGATCATCGGCTGGCAAGTTTATTTTTCATACAACCTATGCAAATGAAACAACTTATGAAAATACAACCTATTCATACAACCTATGAAAATCAAAGCGACAATCAATGTATCGAAAGCTAGATCACCTTCATCTATATTTAATATTGCTAATCGATCCTTTCATTATGAAAAGGCGATTGTACGCTTACCGGGAGCACGGCAGTCTCAGCTTTCCGACGGTTGTTGTTTCACGTTGCTACGACGTCCACCAGCAGAGAAATTGCCGTTTATGCATCGCGTTCTCGACCGGCTCACCGAATAGCTGAGGTTTGTTTACATCACGTGCAGGTGGAGACGCGTCCGCATTCCATCGCATTCCACAGTGAGCCTCTTCCAGGAAAGCCTCGGTGTCACGTGACCCGAAGCCGACTTGGGGACGCGCAACCTTGCCCCCACTCCTTAGGCACGCCGCACTACCACATAGATACTGACCACACGGTCGTGCACTGCCTCGTTTAGTCCGCAGTGCGTCGGCGCTCGCGCTGCGGTTCATAGTGGAGAGGTTATGTCACCGGCGCTCACAGTAGGAGGTTAGATTGCAACTTGGAATAACCGTAGTTCGTCAGAGATTCGAGATGTGATACAGCAATCAATCTTCTTTATACGCGACCCCACGCGCGTTTATGATCCTTCGTCGCCGATTCGAGAGATGATGTCCAAAGCGTCGCGACAGATCCAAAGCCGTGGTGAGTCCTTCGGAGTCGCGCTCTTCTCACGTGTCTACACGTAAGATGCATGCTCGTCACATTTGAATACGCGTGCGAGGCGTTTTCAATTAGCTGTGAGATTAAAGAAATAGTGGAATGAGTTACTATAAGCGGGAGAGGTAATTGAGAACGATGAATTTCTCGTTGTTGCGCGACATCTGTTAGCCAGTAAATTCTTCGTCTACATGGAGACTTTATTAGGATCTTATAAACGAAGAATAAGATCGACATTCTACAATAATTCACTATATTTATATCCTTTCATATGTACCATTGACATTTTAGAAACTGAAATATACTATCAAAATACCATATTTCCGTGAAATTATTATGTTCCTTGGCAAGATATACCCTACTAACAATCTATTTTTGGACTACTGAAAACAATGTGAAAAGAATTTATATGAAAAGAAAAAACTATAATTTTTCTGTATATAATTTCGCAACAACCCACATATTTATCAACCGCCGCACAACGGCAGTTGTTGATTGACAAGTAAACCTACTCAAAAGTTACACTCCGATTTCTTTCTAATTTGGCACAAATGTAAATGTACAAAAAATACTTAAGTCATATTTTTCATTTTGGCCTACTTCGAGTTTTACAGGTAGTTTATAGCTTTTTAATATTCTCACTCCTATCATCAATAAGTACAACAAAAATGCATAAGAAATAAAATTGAATACAAGATATAAGCGTTTTGATTTGCTGATTATAAATATGAAGTCAAATGTGTAAAATTATTTGCATAAATAATAAAATGTTTAAACAAAACATATAAAAAGTTGAAAAAATTATACAAATAATTTCATGGTTTAGCTAAAATTCGAACCATTTCTGACTAATTTAGCACAGATTTGAAATATTTCGGTTGGAATCTCGGCTAAAGAAATTTAGAATGGTTCGTATCTCAGCTATGCCGATTTCGTTAAAATTTTAATTAAAATTGCCGGATTTCTCTCTCTCTCTTTTGGTTTGGCGAAGATTGAAACCATTTTTGACTAATTTAGCACAGATTTAAAATATTTCGGTTGGAATCTCGGCTAAAGAAATTTAGAATGGTTCGTATCTCAGCTATGCCGATTTCGTTAAAATTTTAATTAAAATTGCCGGATTTCTCTCTCTCTCTTTTGGTTTGGCGAAGATTGAAACCATTTTTGACTAATTTAGCACAGATTTAAAATATTTCGGTTGGAATCTCGGCTAAAGAAATTTAGAATGGTTCGTATCTCAGCTATGCCGATTTCGTTAAAATTTTAATTAAAATTGCCGGATTTCTCTCTCTCTCTTTTGGTTTGGCGAAGATTGAAACCATTTTTGACTAATTTAGCACAGATTTAAAATATTTCGGTTGGAATCTCGGCTAAATAAATTTAGAATGGTTCGTGTCTCAGCTATGCCGAATTTGTTAAAATTATTTAACTATATCTTGTATTTAATTTTATTTTTTATGCATTTTTATTGCACTTGTTAATGATAGGAGTGAGAATATTAAAAAGCTATAAACTGCCCATGAAACTCAAAGTGGGCCAAAATGAAAAAATATGACAAATATTTTTTGTACTTCTATATTTGTGCCAGATTAGAAAGAAATCGAAGTGTACCTTTGAGGTAGGTTTACTTGTGAGTTTATTTCTCGTCGGAGAGCGCGCGTTTGTTTCGAAGGAGAATATGCGTTAAGAAATATCTCGCATGAATCGCGATTACGGAGACACCGGGGAACTTTGAAATTGGCGATTGTATCAAGCTGTCGACTCGGCGCCATCGAGTCAATCCGTTGTTTGTTTTGATTTGCGTAACGCGTAGGTGGCAATGCACCCTTTGCATACCTCAGTGCGTACGGCGTCCCCGCTCTCACCACGTTGCACTCGATCACGTGGTCGTTCAACCTGCCCCGTTCAACCCTCGCTGACGTTCGCGCTAACGCCTGAAACAAGAGGAATATGTTGAAGCCTTCAGAGTGTTATAACTCGCGAATGAGTCGGCGTACAAGTGTGAAACAAAAAGCAAGTT